AAAAAAAAAAAAAAAAACTCGCACACGGACAGATAAGATTCCATTAATTAGAAAAGTGATTCTGAAAAGCCTTTTGGGCGTTGGATATATCCGCCATAAGACAATTAAAAGCACAATAGTCCGCAATGTAATATTTTGCATCATCAAATTTGTTCTGTTACGCAAGGACCATCTTAAACACAGTGCTTTATGCTAGCGTTGTGATCCCTTAACAACTTAATGCACTACACCACATATATAACGACTTTTCATATTAAGGAGTTGTGTGTGGAAAGTGGTGCGATTGGAAATTTTGTCAAAAGAATTTATTTTTAGGCTAAAAAAAGTCAGAGTGTATCATCTCAAAACTCACTGTCTATAGTTTGAACATAAGAACAAAAACGGACCGAAAGAAAGACAAGCTTAAATCCAGGCAAAAAGTGAAATTGAATCGATCGCTATTATAAAAAGTAGATCCGTCTCAAGTCTTTCTGAACGTTGCCTACATTTCCATTCAATATGCCCTTGTACTGAGCGTAAAATAATTAATTTTAAAATGGTCCAACAAAAATTTTAGATAGAAAAAAAACGCTTACTTTTTTTTCCTCAAGCTAAGATAAAGTCGTAATTTTATGCAAACTGACAAAGAAACTAAATTCTACTCCACCAATTTCGAGAGGATATGCATGACTATCTACTTTACTGGTCAAGGGACAATGGGGTTCCCCCGTGAAGCTTTGCTTGCTAATAACAGTAACTTGATATAAACTGAAATTAGATTTAGACTCTATTCGTATTTTGTGGTTAGCAAATGACAACGAAATCACTGTAAACGTAAAACTCCAACGTGAAGGCTACGTGTGAATTGCACCTTTAGTCAACAATTCGTCACATTTGCATTTAAATAGGAGTTTCAAATCATTTGTCATTACACTGAGTTAAAGATTAAACTCTTTGCCAACAGAAAGGTGTAAGAACATTGCAGCCAACAGTATGGCTATCAATAAATGTTAACACAAGTACTCACCTGAAGCATTGTTTGCTTCATCCTTTTTGTTTTCTGCCTTATTTGCTGTTGCTGCTGCCACTGCACCAGCGGCGGCCGATGATTCATTAGCTTCATCATCGTCGCTATAATCATCATCGTCATCATCTTCAGCATTCTCTTCATCCCATTCATCTTCATCTTCTTCGAGGTCATCATTATAAACCTAAAAAATAAAAATCGTGTAAAAAAAAATATACATTTTTTTTAAAATAACCTATACACATGAAAAAAAAAAATTATTTTTTGGTAACCCTGGCTTAAGGAAACATCACCGTTATCTTCATCATCACTGAAATCATCGTCGCTATGCTCGTCATCATCTCCAGTATCACCGCTTTCGGAATCTATATATTATTAAGGAAAAGGTGGAAGAAGAAGAAAAACGCAAATGTGACGATTAGTACTAAAGCAGTAAGTAGTCTTAGAAATGCTTACAAAACACGGCATTGGCTAAATTTAAAATAGCTAAAAACCAATACATTAAAAAAGCAACATTCATAGGACGAGCAGATTCAACAGAAGTATTAACGGTATTAGAAGGAGAAACAGTTGTTGGTTGCTCAGCTATTTGCTCTTCTTTTAATTTCAATTTTTTTAGATATTCATCTAAATCATCATCAACTTCTGGTTGCTTCTGAGTAGAGGTCGCAGGTACACCAGAAGAACTATTGGTTGAAGCCCGTTTAACTTGTAATTGTTTCTCAAATGCTTCCAATTCATCCAAATCAATTTCTAAACCATTTAAACAAAATGCAGTAAGTTTATCTGCAATAAAAGTCGATATGATTCTTGTGATTCTTCTAATAAGAGCAGCGGAAATCAGAAGCGAAGACAAGTTAAATGTCGAATATGATGAAAGAATGCTTTTTCCCTTTCCTTTCTTATTTTTTTTTTTTTTTCTCACTTTCTTTTATTAATGATTACTTAAATATGTTAATATGACTATATTTACCATCATCTTCGGAATAATTGCCATTCTCCTCATCATCATCACCTTCAGAAGTGGCTTCCACATCATGAATGTCAAAACTTGAAATATAAGAGATTATTTGTAAGAAAATTTAGTTTTTATTCTTAAAAAAAAAAAAAAAAAAAAAATCCTGTTTTAATTACAAAGGTGCAATAAATTTATGCGGACGTATGCAACAGCCAGAAGGGCTTGGGTTAGACTCATCTTTTTTATAGTGACCGATTCAGAGTCATCTTTTGAATCCCTTTAAACTTCTCTGTTCGTCTTGTTTTCAAGCTGTTTTGATGAAATTTGGCACATTGACGGGATTTGACCCGAGGTCGAACGCTATTGAATTTGAAATTGGTTGGGATTGGATTACTCTTTCAACCACTTCCCGTACCTTCACCCAACTTATTTTGAAAAGTCATTATATGAATAGCAGAGTGATGTAAAGTATTTAATGGTGTTTTAATATTTTTAAAGACAGATTCTTCTATGCAAGGGTTAACTTTACAAATGCTTATTACAGACTGGATTACGGACTGGATTTTGTCAGTGTGTATCGTACAAAATAATACGACCGTTCCGGGCAACAATTTCGCTCCACGGTTATAGATATGTATGTGTGAGTAACGCACTTGCTTTTTCTTTTCGTTTATCCCGATTTGAATGAATCTCTCGTTAATGCAATCTCTTCAAAATGTGCCCATCAAATAGGTGTATGGCATATGGCCCGAACATAATATTTATAAAATTGTCTTCTTTGTTGCCACTTACCCATCTAAGAATTTCAATGAAGGTAACATTTCAAAGATTTTCTCTCGATAGTTATCGGATTGTGTCGCTTCATTGTTAAATAAATCCAACACCGTCAATTGTTTAAATTCTTTCAATGGTTTCAAGGCTTCCAAATCTTTAATTTTATTACCCGATAAATTTATATATTGCAATTTGGGGCTGGTATGTAAATAATTGAGGCCATTTGATATTCTGAAAACATTACAATATATATATAGATATATTTTTAATAAAAGTAAAATAAATTTTTTTATGATATAAAAATTATTATATACCTACCTGTTATCGGATAATTCCAATTTCTTGAGATTAGGCAATTTAGGGAAACCTTTTAATGTGGTTAAACCAACATTAATTAAACTTAATGATTCCAAAGCGGTATATTCATCTGTAAGGCCTACAATACTTGTACTTCGGCAATTATCCAAATTTAAGTCCGTTATCTAAATATATATTTATATATATGAAAAAGAACAACAAATCAAATATTTTTATTTAAAAAATTATGGTCTCCACTTTATAAAGACAAAAGCAATAAAATATTATGGTCAATATTAAATATATCAAAACAAAAAAAATTTATATGTAAAAAATTTTTAATCTTAATTTTTTCATAAAATGTTCGTTGGGTGGCGCATTTCTATATAATCGAGATAACACAGATGATCATTTTTAAGAAAAGTACAGTTAATTTCGCCAAGAAAAGTAGAACAATAACTACACCGCTAAAATTCTAAGAAAATCAATAGTTAACGGGGGTACAGAAATTGCTTATTACAAGAGTTAAAGGGAGAATATCTTTGCAAGAAAGGGTTATTTACTGCATAAGCCTATAGATATAGATATAAAAAACTCTAGGGAAGCACGCATAAGAATGCATAAGAATGTGAAATTCACCACCATCATCACAAACAATTATATTTAAATATTTACTAAAAGTTAGTTAGGAAGGAAAGGAAAGAAAGTCCCAAAAATATGAAACGAAAATTGTTTCACTTTAACGTAACAACAATAGTAAGAGAGAGGGAAAGCAAACATATGGCAAAAGAACACGAACACCTTGTTGCTTTGCGTAGAACATTCGCACAAACACCTATTCGATGAGTTAGAAAACAAAAGTGAGCAACAAAGATAAAACTAGTCGCATTTCAGCAAGCATTCATACAACAGCCTGACGCCATATTGCTTTGTTGTGTATTGGTTGACACAGTGTACATAAATGCGTCAAATAAAATAAATTTAAAAAAAAAAACAAGCAAGCGAAAAAACCAGATATATGACGAAAAAAAAAACAAAGTTCCTAAAATGTAACGTTTACTCAAATACATTTTCAATTAAAATTGATTATTAGGATGACAATTACAAATTTTCTTATCAAATATGATGTAATTCATAAAGAAAATAGGAAGTAATAGATATAAAAGAAAAAAAATGTTCGGCGAATTCGCTTTTATGTTCGCTGAAATGTACAGAATGAAATGGAATCGAAATCCTTTGGGTGAAGAAACTAGACAGAAAAAGTAAAGAGAGAGGGAGAGCGCAATCATCGCTTTTGTAAACAAAGCAAAAGAAAAAAAGAAAAAAACTTGATTGTCGGGAAAAAGGTGTAAATGAGAGAAGTGTTGACAAAAAGTTTTCTGAAAGAAAAAAAAAGCCAAAGAACAAAAACGGTTGAAATTTTCTAGCGTTGTGACCGCTGCCTGATAGGAAACCACTTTTCTTGATTGATTTTTGATTATTTTTTTTCTTTGAAAATTCTTTTTTTGACCTTTTTTTTAGGATCCTTTTTATAGCCAGAGATATTGCTAATAATATGTTAATTAATGCACCGCAATGCAATAATGCAAATGGTGAATGTTATGAGCGATGCAAGAGGTGAAAAATAAGTAAAGTCTATTTTTCATACTTTATAAATTATGATCATGCGAAACTGATTTCAATACATTATCTAACCGGTTGATATAAATGCAAGCACAGCCAGGCTAGTCATTGAAAATGAACCATATTGAAGAATGTGCGTAGCAACAACAATAACAACAACTGCGCACTATATTTTTAATTGATCAATACAGTCAGTCATTTGCATATGTACAGTCGGACATTGAATGCATGTATGCGTGTGGAGGTGGTAATTATATATATATACGTGAAATTTTTCAATATTTAAAGCCGCTTGAAAAGGGACAAAACTATGATTTATCAAGTGAAAGAAATTTTACAATAACAACGATCTGATCATATATGTCGCAATTGGCCGCAAACTTTTATGCGTAAAAACTCATTAAATCAGATTCAGCGACAATTTTTTAATAATTTCATTTAGGATGCAGCAAGCAACATAAATTAAAAAACTCGACTTTGCTGTTGTTGATTGAGCGTTAAACCGTTTACCTTGAACTAAGAATGTTTTGCTTTTCTAAAATCATATTAAAGCCTGAAGCCATAATATTTAGTAACATGATATCGAAAACTAAGCAATTAGGAAAAAAGAAACAACATAACCTTATTTAGTCTAACATTTGGTTTCTGTATAACAATTTCATTATCCTGACTGGTAGGAAAGCCCAAATTAATGAACGCAGACATTGCATACGTTTAGTGAACAAAATCACTGTCATGCTTGGCTAACAAACTAATCGACAATAGCGTTACCACCCTATTCTATCCAATACTATTCGATTATTGTTTGTGGAAGAGGGGAGATTCGCTCATGTGCATGAAATGAAGATGTGCGCTGCATGTATCTTTACACTGAGGTCACATGAATTATAACTGCTTCTAAATGTATATCAAAGAGGAAAAAACTTGTCGTTAATGTCATATATGAAAATGCGTTAATTAATGCGTAGTAACGAATTGTTTTTCAATTTCACTTAACTACTTTTTAGGTGTTAAAAAATTCTAATTACAAAAATGGTAAAGAATGCCTTCCGTAAAGTAGCTGGCGTAAATAATTATTTATATATTTGATGAAAAGATTATCTTTTTTCAAAGTTGCAGAGACGAAAACAAGAATCCGAATATGGAAAAGAAATCTTGGAATGAATCTGAATGCTTCACATACTGCATAACCTTTTAGAGGTAACATGTTTCAATGACTTTAATTTACTAATAAGAGAAGCTAGAAGCTTTGCTTTGGTCTTTTAGCTGTCAATGAGGATCAAATGGTTCTAGTGTTATATATCTATCGAAAATTAGACAAGCGGATTAAACATTTTCGATAAATACTCGGAAGATTCGATGCTGTTCCGAAGATGTACTCCATGTAGTCTCGGTTAGGCATATCTAGGCGTTATAGATAATATAATCTAATTTGTTTTTTGTTTTTCTCATTACTTTAGTTCTTTCGCTTGGTACTAAAAGTCTATCTTTAAGACTGACCTAAGTGAATTTAATTAAGATCAATCTTTTCGAATTTCTACCTTATTATAATAATCGGCGGACAAACAGTACCTACTACAAAACAACTTTGGAATTTGACGCCTACCAAGTATCTGCGGATGTTACAAACCAGAGATAAGGTACACCCGTCATTTGTTGGTGGATCTTTCAAAGGGACAAGACTTTAGGTTATTTGAAAAAATCTTTCTTGGTCTGAGGAGACATCAACCATGATATTGTTCACTTTCTTTGAACAGAAGAAGACTTGGCTCTTGTCTAAGAACCAATATAAATTACTTTTAATATGACCAAACACTCCAGGGATATCCCCTATACACGGTATAAGACGGTGATGGTCAACAAAAAGAGAAAAAAAGAGGAATCTAGCGAGAGGACGCGCAGACTAGTGGACATATGCCCAATCGGTCTATGTGCTATGTCTTCATCGGCCTAGCACTTACCGAAACTATGACCAAAGTAAACCTTACCGCATTGAGATTGAAATCCGCGAGCATTGACTTGGTAGTCGTGATTCCAACCTGTTTGCCTATTTCAAAATCAATGAAATCAATGAAAAGAACATTGGCTCCTATAGGTCTGGTAACAAAAAAGACTTCCAAATCGTAATGTGGACCTAATGAGAATATTGTTTCGCTTTGCTTTAATTTTGGATTAGCTTGTCTTCTCGTAATGAGCCTAAAGGAATTTCTCATTATTTCTGGCAATTATGTATGTTGTATATATTGCACAAGATATGAGCGTGCAAAGGAAATTGGAAAAGTTCAGGGATTAAATTGATTAAGCTAATTGAAGCTGGCCCTAGTTTAAAATTCTTCTATAAATCATATTCTACAGCTTCAGTTGCTTTCCGAAATATTTCGATACTACCTATAAGATTTCCAAATAAAGCTTTATCAGTGTATCTAGTGACCATCGGCCAAAAATTTGTAAAAAATTTCCCCGATAGTTCCTTGGCATACGCTAGATTTTAGTTGTCCTAATGACAAACAGAGCAAATAAAACAGCACTCTAACAGGTCCAGAACGAATGAAAGAGTTTCCACCTGCTGGTGTTTCAACAATTAAGAACCATAAGAAATTTTTAATTTTGTTAAGAACAAATCTATTAGATAGTGGCATATGAAATTATCTATAAGCTAAAATGTTAACATTTGATATTTTTTAACCTCATTTTCAGCTCTTCTAATCAAGGAGCCAGTTGTAAAAAACGGCTTTTCTAAATTTCCCCTATCTTATTGCGTCTATGGACTTAATCTTCAAAATGCAAAGCGGAGCCCTAAAATCTTGGGATACCACTCTTTGAATTTAGTTAATCTTGATCATCGACGAGGTTAGACTTGTTGTAAAACGTTCACAAATATGTAATCTTAACATACAAAAAAAAAAAAAAACGCACTTACCTGATTTGCTTTACGAGCACGTCTTTCCAATTCTATTCTTTTTTCCATTATGATTGTTTTTTAAAATTATTAACGATGTTGTTGCGTCTCTTAGTGTTGTTAGTTTATATAACTTTTTTCTTTTTTATTACTATTATTTTGTTTTACTGGATTTTAATAATTTTTGGCGCTGATTTGCGGCGTTTCGTAATTGAGAAAATGTATCTCTCTCTCTTTCTCTCCCTTTAAAAAGAAATTTTCCTGTTTCTTTTCGTAAAGGTATTAGTTAGTGGATGTGTTTGTTTGTTTGCTAGTGTTTGCAACTAATACCAACACAGAACTCTGACTGCACCTTGCGTACGTGTAGTGTGGAGAAAATATACTCAATATAAAAGAAACGAAGAATTTTTGACTAACATTTAACACATGTATGCCTATATATATATATATATATTATGTATATTTATATATATATATATGATAGATCTGTGTGCGTACTTGCGTATATATATATATCTATATATATATGTAGTTCGTTTTCAATTTTACACACAAGCACAGATTTGAAGTACTTGTACTTGCATGCGTTGCTTTGCGTACACTTTCAATATTTTTGATATATATTTGAGTTGATAATACAATGCCTGCGACCGCTTCTTCTTCTGTTGTTATAATTTATTAATCAATGTTGCCGTTAAGCCAGGCAATAGAATTGCTGTTAAACTGGCAGTGTTGTTGACGACGACGTTAATTTTTTTTTTTGTGCAGATTAAAGAAAGATTTTGTAATGTCAAAATACTTTATTATTCGTCTGCAACCATGTAGTATATTTTCTTTTTTTTTAATTTTATGATCCACACCAGCGTACTTCTTCTTTAACCCCATATCAATTTTATCATCATTCATAATCATCATCGTAATCATCATCATAATAATCGTTATTAACGTTATGGTGGTTGCAATGGTGGCGGTGGTGTTAATGTTCATCATCATTATCACGTTTGCCATTTTTAATGAACAAATGAACATGAAAAAAAATAAATATATTTTTGTTTTCAATAAGTTTATAAATTTCGCTTAATAGTTTTTTTTTTTTTTGTTTTTTCTAATTTATTCGAATGTAAACGCGTATGCAGTTTGCTGTTGATATAATTTCCATATACTTACCGATATAAAATTTATGAAAAAACTTAAATAAATCTAGCTGATTTCCATTGAAATTCCTTTAGTTTAGCTGAAGGACAATTTCTTCGTTTTTTCTCTCCCTCTTCAACTATTTAATTTTGTTTAAACTTTATTTTTTCTTCGATAGCCTTTAAATAAAATCTTCCTTTTGTAACACACACAAAAAAAATATAATACAAAAAATTAACACACACGCTTCGTAGTCGTTGTGTCGGCCTTTCTTCTTTTTACTAATTTTCTTCTTCTTGTAAAATGTTCTTCCATTCGTTTCATTCCATTTGTACTAGTTTATTCATCGTTCAATAGCATCAATTCGCCGCTTGTTTATTCCAGAGCTGTATCTGATATAATAGAAAGAATACTAAACAGAGAAAATCGTGTAAATAAAGACGATTAAAAAAAATTTGCACCCAAAGCATTAATCCATTAAATTTATTAAAAAAATGTAATACATAATAATAACTAAAAAATGTAATGCAAGTAATAAATAACGTTGTAAAGAAAAGTAATGAATCTATTAAAATGTTTCGTAAAATCGCCAAAAAATGCAACTGTGCATTGTAATTCATTCTTATATGTTAATCAAAACAAAGTAAGAATTTCATTATTAATACATAATGTATAAATAGAAGTCGACAAAATAGATTTTTGTCGCTATTCAAGTAGTTTTTTAGTTACTCTAGTGGCCTTTTTCACGATTTGATTGGGACAATAGTAGCAGAAAAATATTATGCGTTCTATTATGATTATTGAACGTCTAAGTTCACTTCCCTAATATGACTTTAACTCGGGTATGATTCATATTAGGTTTGCAAATAAATTTATTCCTTTGAAATTGATTTCTTCACATAACGTGCTTCCTGACGCGTTCAATTTCCTCGAAATTTCAGATATAGATAACTTAGCTATTAAAGTTTCAGTAATTTGTAAGCTGTCATTCGATGTATATCACAGTTTAAAGAAATTTGTCTGTTTTTAACGGGATTAAACTGGAAAAAAAATGCGTCTAAGCAACGGAAACAGTTAAGTTTGATTGGAATGAAAATGCGATAAGCCACGAAACAGAAAGTGGTTTACGAAATTTCGGGCAAAAAATTGTAGTCGTGAAAACGATGAAAATTATCGAATGTACGTCTGTCTACCGAAAAAACAATCAAAACAAATTATTTTTGGACCCTTTCGGTTAACTCTTAATCAAAACGAACATTCAGTTTTATTTGGTAGGTCAGCGGTTGGCAGAAGTTCATGCGAAATGGCTGTCTCTCTTCCAAATCGGCAAATATCCACCAAGTCTTCATCGAGAAGCTGCCCGATAAATGACAGAAGACCTTTGGTAACCATTTTGATTATTAACCTTTGTAAGAAGTAAATTTTGAATAAAGTTGAATTTTAATTTCATCAAAAAACCGAAGGTTTTATTTACACACTTAACATTACTTTCGTGACCCATGATAAAAGCAACATTATATTCAAAAAATAGTTGAACTTATAATTATTATTATCGCTACTATTATTTTTATAATTTAGCTAAAAAAATAAATTCTAAGATTAAAATCTTAAACTGGCGTCTAAGACTATGGGCTTTACTGACAGGATACTGAGTTAGCATTCAAGCTGCTGTTCTTACTTAGCCGTTTAGCCGGATGATTTTAAAGTTAAAACAAATTATATTTGTCGAGATTTTTAATACATATACAGGCTCTCAGAAAATTCTTCTTCTTCTTTTTATACTTCATCAAAATTATTGTTACATCGACAATTTCTTGAAGGGAGTAATAGTTTATATGTTCCGTATAAGTTATAAATTTCCATACGTTTCTCGATATTTAAATTAGGTAAGTTTTTTACTGAGATAGTGATGTGGCAAAAGATGAGGGAAGGTTACTTGGTGTAGTTTTAACTTTCACCCAAGTTCTCGGTTTTGTCAATTCAGCAGTTCCCTAATATAAGCGAAATAGTTCGTCAAATATTGCCTTAAATTATTGTTTATGAACAATTCTGGGCAGACAATGTATGAGCTTTAGAATTTGCTTTCAACCTCTCTATATGGTTTCGAAAACGTAATTAACTAGCGATTTCATGTTCTATTTTTTTTATTTCTATATTTATATTTTTCAAGTACGCATTGGAAGATTTATGATTCAAACGGTCCTGTTTTATTGAAATGTACTCGTTATAATTTAAAATAATCTTTTAATGTAATTAAATTCTTCAAATATTGCTTTAAAACATTAACAAGCAAAAAGTATAGAAATATTTCGAAATGATTATTGATGATAATTTCAGAATAATAATGTAAATCAACTGTTACGGATAGGTATTAAATACTATTTCGATTTGCATTTTTCCTATTCAATACTTAAATTACTCTTTTGTTTACGTGTTATAAGTTGCATAAGCCATTTACACACACAAGAAGTTGCAGAAGGTATTTAACAATATTACAGGGACGTTTGGGTTTATATCTTGCAAGAAAAGCAATAATGGATTGGAACAAAATTGGAAATTGCGAAAGTGGGTCATATAATGAAACTACCAAAAAGAAAAATGAGTTGGAATGGAACAAGCTTAGTTTTTATTAAACGAATTAGAAATTATTTTTTAAGGACGATTGATCGGTTAAGGTATAATTTATTGGAAAAAAATCTGTATTAATAATAATAAAAATATTAGACTATCTTTAATAAAAAGAGACTAAGGTGTGGAAAGGAAAATGTAAAAAGTGCTTTGTGACATAGTTTTTAGAAATTAGTAATGAGAGATAGAAAGAGAGAAAGAGAAAGAGAGAGAATAGTCTGGCTACATTGTTCGTTTTATTATTCGTGTCACTTCGTTTTTCACTTTGCAAATAAGGTATGTAATTACTATTTAATAAAATCGCGTCACAGTCTCGATTAAAGAAAAACTTAATGGAAAGTAATGATCTCTCTTCTTACGAGCGTAATATATCCTAGTGTTTCTTTCATATCATAGAGATTGTCTTAACTTTTTTTATAACCACCACGTTCTACTTTCTTTTTTTTCGTTTTTATAACGTATGTAACACCCAAAAAAAAAATCTTAGAGATCCTATAAAGTATATGTATTCTCCATCGGCATGAAATTCTAAATTGATTAAGCCATGTCTGTCCATGACGTGTTGTCGAGACTATCCTAGCCGTAAAAATGAAAATATCGACTTCAAATTTGGTAGAATCACTGGAAGTTTTTGCACGCACGCTAGTATTGAAAAAGGGCCAAATTGTTGAAAGCAGAAACCCGCAATGGAGCATTACTCGGTTTATCTGAACAAAAATGTTGTGAGTTTTTGCTCGTTACTCCGAGGCGGAAATTTTTCGCATTTACTTTACGAAACACTTTGCTCTTTACGTGTAAAAATGAAAATAAGCGTGCTTATCCACACAAAGTTACATTTCTCAAACAAAGATATCTGCCTAAAAATAGTGGACGTGGTGGATTAATTTTTCTGTTAATAATACCAGCGATATGGATATCAAATAAAACGACTTGAAGAGCAGAATGAGAGAAGCCAAGCGTGTTAATTCTAAAATAATTGTGGTAGACGTCACGACTTTGTGGATAAATGTTTTCTTAAAAATAACTTCGATATGGATATCAAGTGAAACAACTTGGAGTGTGGAATGCGATAAATATTTTAATAGTGGTGGGCATGCAAAGCTCGGCAATCGATTACAACATTCTTATTTGTTTTTTGTATATTTCATTTGCCCTTCCACCAAGCTAAATGGTAGCTTGTAATATTTTATATGAAACCTTTTCAAATTTTCCCGCATTTGAAGAATTTGAAAAATGTAATATAATACCTGCCTTTGTATTTAGCACAATTTTGAATCGTGTTAATATATGTGTTAAAATCGAATCGCTTTTGCTCTTTAATTATATTATGTTGCCTTGTAAATATAATATCCGCCAAAATATGCAAAATGCATTGGTTCGGTAATTCTCAAAAAGTTAAAGTGCCGAGCGGAGATTAATGGATTCATCTATATCTTTATCCTTTCCTTTGTCCCATTCAGAACGGGCACAGACAACGACTGCTGACTTGCTATAAGCACTTACCTGAAGGGGCTTCGGCCATCCCACTTAGAATGGAGACTGCCTGGTACCACGCACTAAACTTAAAAAATACTTGCTTGGTTGCCTTTCGGTTTGAGAAGGAGCTTTGCCCTTATGATTCCATCCCGCAATAACTCCATAGCTAACTACCGAGCAGGGAAAGTTTTAGTTCCAGATCAAACAAACGAACCTTAACGATGTAAACCCAACCATAGCGCAGAGAACGTGCATTTGTAGATTCGGAAACACGGAAAATAAAAGCGAGAAGTAAAACCAATAGAAACGAAATTCGCGAAAGGTAATCATTATTAAAGTAAGTAATCAACCCGCTAAACCAAGACGGCTTTTCCTCCCATTTGAGTTTTGTTACTATCGAACGTTAAACGGGTTTTTCATGCAAACAATAAAACAGAAAGTGGGCGGAAAAGATTTTTCCGCTTCTTCAAAATTAAATTTTAGAACAAAACTTTTTACCTGCATTTGATGCAAAAAAACTTTTGTAAAAAAAGGATATATATGTTTCAATCAATAGGTAGAAATTTTGATAGAAGAAGAAGAAGGAATACAAGAACATTACGTCTCAAATGTACATATATAAGTTGAAGGGTCTTAAAGATCTTAAGATTATCAAGCAACGATAGAGCTAGAGTTTTAAATGTCAAAAACTGTGTTAAAAATAGTAAGTTCAACAGCAAGATGCTAGAGGCCTACATCCCGAAAAGCTTCTTTGAAGACTTTTGGAATATCCTCTTAGGATATAACCTGAATGATGTCACTATGTTTCCCAAATCTTAGATACCCATTCCGTAGGATACGAGACTCAACTGCAGAGCATGATCGAACAGAAACCTTTCGGCTTTTGTCGTAATGGGATAAAATATGATATGATTAAAGCTGTCGTTAATGGAAATCGTTTAGCCCATCTGTATGCACTTAATCAGAGTTGACCTAATAGTATCATCCCAAGTGATTGACGGATTATCACAATTCGACTGATTCGTAGGCCAGGCAAAAATGTAACCGTTATTGCCAACTTAAGACAGATTTCTGTAATTAGTAGTAATTTTATTAAGTTAATCTATTCGATGGCCAATAAACTAATTAAATTATCAAAACTTTATTCTGATCCGGTCTTTTGATTATCAAAAAGGCAGACCAGCCACATGTGTATCAAATTATTATCTTTGCTAATAAAAAAAAAATATATAACCGTTTTATCTTTACTAGTAAAAAAAACCAGGTAAGTTATTACGCTGTCTTCAGGGATCGACCGCGCTTACGACTGTGTAAGGTATAACAACCGATATATATAATATTTCATATTTGCGGACATATGAGCCATTCGTTAACGTGAGCCAAGCTTACTAATGAAAAATATATATGTTTACATATAGGCAGGCTACCGTAGAGAGTGGATTAAGAGTGGCGTAAGGCGTACGATTAGTCCGTTCGGTAAGTAGGTTTCGACCGTCCGTTGATCTTTTTATGGGTCAAAGTCTGTGGAATGTCCGTGGAACAAAAATTTGAGACCTGCCATATCTTTCGAACTAACTAGTCACGCCATGATAGTTGTACCCCTCTTATAGCCTCCAATCATCTCAAAGTAGCACTTAACTGATAGCAGACTGACTCTGCAGGCTGCTTGGTGGTGTTAAAGGTCGTTCACTATTTGCTCCTATGTCAGAAATGGGCGAAGAGTTTACCAGTTCCTTGTTTAGTAAAATATTCTCTTTAAAAGTTTATGGTGTTGGCGGAACCACCAGTAAATTTACTGATATCAGCAACGGGTGCATTCATTGTCATCAAAACCACCTCTTCATTTTGGTTAGATATTGCTAAAGTAGAATTTGTAAAAGTAAGATATCTTAGTTAGATTTTGTTATAGAAAGAACAAATTTTTTTTAGAATTTGTTAAAGTAAGAAATTTTGGTTAGATTTTGTAAAAATAAGAAATTTTGGTTAGATTTTGTAAAAGTAAGAAATTTTAATTAGATTTTGTTATAGAAACAACAAATTGTGGTTAGATTTTGGCCCTAAAATCAATGAGCTTTTCGTGTGCTCTTTGTATTTTAAAAATTTTGTTTTTTTAAAAATCTTTAAATTCTTTTTCGTTATTTTGGTGTCTTCGCCAGATTCCATTCCATTTCTCCTTATACAATAATATTCCCTTTTGTCCCTTCTGTTTTCTTATACAAGAAATCTTTTTTAGTCAAGTTCGTTATTTAACGAACTGTAAAAACTTTCTCTTGCATATTCTCAGTTATGTTAAGAATACGAACCGGTGAGCGTAACAGAATTTTGCCCTACTTTCCCGACAGAGGTTTTCACTACTGGCTTGTTATTTAACACAGCTGAATGGCGTTACCGTTTAACCATTGAACAGTGCTGCCATTTTTTGACTATTTTTCTTATTTATTATAAGCAACCTTGTACTTTGTCTTTTAAGAGGGAATTTAGCGAGGGCTTTGTTTAATTTGATAATAAAAATTATGGCAGTCTACTTTTAAGCTAACTTGTAAAATTAAATAAGTTTAGTTCGCTTATTTTACAAAACACTATACATCTATACATCTAGAGGTGATGATAGAAGAGGAAAAGCGACCAAGTCAAGGATAAAGAATCGGAAACAATCAGGAAACCATTAAAAAGAATAACAATTTCTTTTATATATTTGTATATATATTAATAAAGCTATTTTAAATGTATAATAGAGCTATTATATGAATAAAGCTATTTATATATAAATATAAATTTCTTTTCTTTTGCAAACTGTTGCAGAAAGTGATAGTCAAACTCATAAATTCGATTGTTCTTCCTCGCGTAACGGGCAGAAGAGAGCCCCACAATAAATGCTACAGTTTAATGCAATCGGTTGGGTCATTTTGGTTTGTACAAATCCTTGGAAATTATATCAAGCTTGTAGTCGGCATTTTAAAGACCAAGTTCGTCTAACATCCAAGAAAAGAAAAGGGTAATCAACTAAGAGTTTTTACAGAAATTTGACAGTAATGAACTTGGAAATCTGATGGATTTTTTCATCCTGAAGGTCATGCTGTATATAGATTGAAGAGCAAAGACGTCAAGCAACTGCCTTGTGGAATACCGTCATATAGCTCTGTCTGTATTCATTACCAACACAGGCTTGGTTAAAATATTTAGTGTCCACGGATGTATTTGAAGAGATATTAAAAAATTTAAGAGAATTTGACCAAGCTTCGTGTCAGGTTCACGCATCATGGCTGATGTCCATACAATGCTTGATAAGCACTTTACCAGCTTTCCTTAGACTCGCCAAGAGGAAAAACAGTTGATGCATACGTTCGTAGATTTGCGTGTGTGATGCGCATAAGAAAAGTTCGACAAAACTATTATACAAGGAAAGAAAAAAGTAGCCACACCTATCTAATGTTATGAGGTATGCAAATTTCCTTTTTTTTTTCTTTTTTCTCATCTTCTATATGATAACGTTAATGGGCACTAAAGAGGCGGTTGCAACCTAATATTCATTCATCAACTTTCATCCCTTACAGGATGCGAGTTCAAAGTTGAAATGCTTAGCTAGATGGGTAAATCAGACGGCTTGGAATGATTTAGAAGTAAAATTGCAAAAATTTTATAAATGACGTAATGATTAGCTGCGTTTTTAAGAAACCATTATACTATAAGCGAAAAAAAGGGCTTAGAGACAATAAATGATAATGATCAGGATGACAACTGCTACGAATAAGAAAATTATTTTCGGCTGTTGTCGAATCTTTCTACTAATACTCCAGACTTTTTCTGTCTTTTTTTTTTTTTCTTTCTTCGCATACTTCTCTTTTGTTTGCGTTAACAGGAAGAAAGTTAAGGCTACCAGTACGGATTTTAAAAGGCAGTTTAATAGAAAGCTGAATAATAACAAATATAATAAATTCATTGAAAAATATATTTAGTGAAAAGAAGAAGATAAGAAGGCGCTGAAATAGTGGAACAGATTTGCGAAAAAAACCTTATTAAGAACGAGCGATAAGAGTTGGTACAAAAATGATAAAGAAAAGCCTATTAGCCTTTGCATTGGAATTTGTACAACTGTTTTGAGACATAAATTTTATGAAAATTACATATCAAAAATTAATAATATGTTTAATACAATGTTTCGAAAAAATATAAAAAATTCAATCTTTAATTCAATCAATTTATATAACGCATAGTATTTAATTATACGATTAGCAAATTGAAAATGGTAACACTGTATGCCCGGAAAACATAAAACATAAACATAAAACGGTGTGAAGTTAAAAAACTAAGATGTCCATCGCGCGCCTTACTCGTGGCTCAAAAAATAAATAAATCGACAAATAAGTAAAAAAAAGATGAAATGTAAAAAAAAAAAAAAATGAAATGAAAAAAAAGATTGCTAATAATAAAACTCATAACGCAATAAATAAGTGAAAATCCTGGTCAGAAGCGTAAACAATTTCTCAATCGGCATTCTTATTACAACGCAACTAAAAAGAAAATAAATGCCAATCGCATGTATACAGCGGTTTATATCAGTGCAGGGATGTTAAACATTCCTTGCAATAAAGCAAGAAAAAACAATTTCGTTTTGCATTAAACATGCAAGTTCATATGATATTATTACATTTTACATGCTCAAAAAATAGAGACGTTGTAAAAAGTAAACATTTAGAAAACATTTCCATTTTTTAAACAAAAAAATTACTTCGCATGAGCTTTTTTTGTCTATAATGCTGCTAGTTTTTCTTTATTTGTGAATATCAAACCAACAACAGAAAGGACATATTAATTAATAATATTGATATTGATTAATAACTAACATAACTAAAATAAAATTTTTAAAAATAAATAAGTCTATATAGATGTTTAAGTGAAGAAGAGAAAAAGAAGATTAGTGTTGGAAAGTTAGCAAAGCTAATACGAAATGCAACGATTTATTACCAAATTATATAAAGCATAATTTCAACTTGGGGACTTGGGGGCCAACGGCTTCAATTGGGGACTTTTGCAAGTAGCATAGAGTATTACGTTCTTTCTGCAAATAGTAGAGAATTTTATTGATGATTTAACGTTGGCTTTGCTTGCCTACCTTTAGGTGTAATATTAATGTAATAATTGAGATTGCTTATACGTCCTGTTAGAATTTCTTTTTACTTTTATCTTCTTTTTGATGTCACAAATATGTTTATATATGTTTATATTATATGTTTTATTAAGTTTAATCAAAGAATAATCTAATAATCTTTCCGTTTTTCTTCGTTTCCTATACTGTATAATGGATTTAAAGTTAAAAAGGGAAAGAAAAGCCACAATATGCTTTATTTTTTTTTATAAACGATTTATTTATTTTCACTTTATTTTTACTTTATTTTATTTATTTATATGCTTTATTCACTACTTATTCACTACTACTGTTGTTTTTGTTGTTAAATTGCCAAATTGTTTGTTTGGATAGAATTTCAACAGATGTTTTTTATTGATTAGCAGAGAATTTGGAACAAATTGGGGAATTTTGCCGACGGCTTTGGAAATTAGCATAGAGTATTACGTTCGCTCTGTAAATAGCAGAAAATTTAGCTACTGTTTTGTTTAATTTGATAATAAAAAACAAATTATGGCGGTCTACTTTTAGGCTAACTTGTAAAATTAAATAAGCAAAAGTAAATAATAAATAAGTTTAGTTCACGTATTTTCCAAAACATTCAAATCGTCATTATTCTTATTGTAGTCATCAAAAATAGTAATCACCTCATTTCACTTTCGTTCCGCTAATTTAGTCAAACGAACTGCCAAATCCTCACTTACCGCATTTGAAACTTTTTGTTCATTAAGTGAAATAAAAAGTATTGTTTACAATGTTTTATTTAAACCAGTTACAAATTTGTTTATTATTTATTTTTGATTTCGTTTTATCTGTTATTATTATTTTCTTATAACATCATATACACACTGATGCTACACATAGGTGACAATTATAATTTGATTATTTTCTCTTTTTCTTCTTCTTTTTTTTTGGTAAAGTCATTTTAATTGATTCTCGCTGGTAAAGTGTTTGAGTTTTTTTATTCATTTTGGTAATATTTCATTTATTCATTTATTTTCTTTTTTTTTTTTTTGCAACAAATTTTAACATTTATAAATTATAATTTTGTTTCTTTGTTGTTGTTTGTTATCGGTTTCTTTAGATCGTGTGTATTGTTACGAAAGTAAGGGGAATAGCTTTTATAGTTTTTTAAATGATTCCTACACTCTACGTCACTTATGGGATAAGGACATATTAAGTTTGTGCGGTTGTATGCAATACCTAGAAGGACATGGAACAGGAGCATCTTTTTTTATTATACCAATCTATTCTAAATCGTTTTCTGCATCGATTTAAGCTTGTCTGTCCATATATCCGTCTATCCGTCTTATTCTCTTGTATTCAATTTACAGGCCGTAATTTTTCCAAATGAAGCCTTATTTTAAAAATGCGTTAATTGAACAAATGCGTTAAGCGAAATGGTGTATAATATTGGCCCGAATTCCACTGTAATGTTTTCATCTGTTTTTTAAACTGTAAAGAGTGATCCAGGATTTCTGTAAATAATTTTTGTCCAATGGCTGTTTACGTTAACCAAACGTGGATTTGAACATATCGAAAACAAAGTTTATCGCATTGTCTGTTTTCCTGTGTAATTTCTTCCCCAACATAAATAGGATATAGGAGTTGATCAAACTTTTTGGCCGTTTGCGAATTTATTTTTCCCAAAGAAAAACAAGAGCAACATTTAATGCGAAAATAATGGAGAATATCAAGAAGATATTGTTGGAAAGTTATCAATTAAGTTTCTGCAATACAAGTCAAGATTAAGATTAATAAACTTCACGAGTGTCCCTTAAGACAATCTATTTTACAATATCGACCAAGAAATTTATTAAAGTTCCGGAGTAACTAAAATTGGTAGCGGTTTAGTTTAATCTTTCAAAAGCTACTTGTAGGGGGCCTTCTAAAATTGGAGAACTGTTTTTCAAGACCCTTGCAAGAAATTCCCATCAAAAAGTTCTGCTATAACAAGGATAACTGTCAAAAGTGCGCTTTGATGCGTTATTTTAAAAGGTTGATGGAGGAGGTGTCAGGAGACATTTTTGCGTCTAAGGCGATACGATCCGATAAGGGTCTTAAAAGATAATTTAATTAAGAAATTCGAAGCCATTGCGTAGGTGGTCTGTGGAAGGCCTTTTAACATTGATATAAGTGCCTGGTTTCTCATTGGGTCCACTTTATGCGATATCGTTAAAATCTTGAGTTAAAAAGAAAGAAAAAAAAGGATTTGTGATAATCCCCGATATTTTTTGACATAATATATATTTTCATCTTCATTTTGTTTTTTTTTTTTTTTTATTTTTCAAAAGGGGGCATAAAGTTCTTTTTTTTTAATTTTTTTTTTTTATTGTGTTAAACTTTTGAGCCCAGGTGTCACTTTTTTGTCAATTGTTGTTTTTGTCAAAAATTGTTTGAACGTTTTTTTCTTAAAATTACAAATTTCAGAGAATTAATAATTTCAAATGCCTTTGTTGTTGTTGTTGTTTAATGTTACCATAATAATAATGATGATAATGATGATGATGATAACAATTATTATGATGACAATAATGATTTTTGTTTTGACATATACATTGACTTAAATTTTAGAATTGTGTTGTTGCTGTTGTTGTTGTTTTCTTGTTTTAATTTATTACTTATAGTCTAAAATAAATTTATGGAAATAATTTCGTTAACATATTTATTTTTAATATTTTTTTTTTTATATACATTTTCTATTTGTTCTTTTTTGTCATTAATTTATTTGTTTTCTTTTTTCGTCTTCAATCTCAACGTTAACTAATTCTAAGTTTTAACAGTTTTCTTCTCCTTTTTCTTCTTATATTTTATTTTGATTCAGTTTGACTTAAAATTTCTAATTTTTAATTTGTTTTTTACATATATATATATATATATTTTTTTTTTTGTATTTTATATTAAAGCTTTGATTCGGAATTGTTTTTTTATTTTAAATTCTAGTAATTGTTATGAGTTTTTTTTTTTTTTTTTACAACAAATTTCTATTTTTATCGATTTTTTATACAATCTTTTAATTATTGCAATAATCTTAGTTTTCGATTTTTTTTTTGTGTGGTTATCTAACGTTTTAAAATAATTTATTTTTTAAATCATTTTCATTTTTTGTTCTACTTAATACGTTTTTGGTGACAGGCACAATCTTACATAAATTCACAACAATTTTAATAATTATTTTAATTATCTCTCTAACAATTTATGCAAATTTTTTTTGTGTTGTTTAAAACAAAAAAAAAAAAAAAAAATGTGTTAAATTTAATAAAAATAAAAAGTTTATAAAGAAGCTAAAGGAACAAAAAAAAAACTTATTTCTGAAACCTTTGCTTTTGTATAATAGGAGCGATGTCAGTTTCGGCTTGTGCCGATTTTATTGACACCCACCACTTAAGGGAGACTGAAGGTATTGCTACGTTAAAAAAAAAATTCCTCCCTCCCTGAGCCGAGAAAGAAGAAATTTTACATCTTATGGATGGGTAAGGAAATGTGATCTCGGTCAGATTTTGCTCTGTAGAGTCACACCTTATAACAATAGAAAAATTTTTTTTTTTTTTTTTTTTTTTTTTTTTTTTTTTGTAATACGACCAATTACTCAGGGGATGTACCTTAATCGTATAACACGGTAACTCTTAGAAATATGAGAGACAAAGAAATAGGGATGTGGTGGCCGCAGCATAGTAGGTGTGTACCCAATCGATTAATGTTATGCCTTTATCGACTGATTACTCACTGTTGTTAAGGCGAAAGAAGATTGCTATCGGACTTGAGATTCTAATCCGGGCTGAATAATGACTTGCTAGCGTGTGATACCTGTTCGGCTATTTAGGCGGATAAACTTGTAAACTAGTATTTGGAATGTCATGAAATTTGGACACATTTCATATGAAGATGGGCGCTATCATCAAAAATCATATATCAATAGCCGTCCTTTGCTTATAAATCCAGCACAAACCTAAAAAGAATTTCCAGCGCAGTTATGAATAACTCAAAAGCAATATCTTCTTCTTATGTTCTTTTGGATGCAGAGGGTAATCTGCAGAAGTACGAGAAAAGGCTTACTTGCAAGTTACGCGAAGAGAACAAAAATCGCAAAGTTGACGTCTGCAAAAAGAGTTATCTTCATCAAATTATTACGGGCGATGAAGTCCTGAAAATCGTAACCGAAGAAAATCGTAGGTTAATCCAAATCTTTTGCAAAATTAAATATTGCATAATAACGTTACGACGTGTGTCGTTTTAACGAACAGCTTCGTAAAGTTCAAGACGATTACATCTGAAATAAGTGAACGCTTTTCTAACCAGATTAAGCCTATAAGTCATAATCTGTACTAGTAAGGTGATAAGGCGGCAAGTGGATACCAATCCGAGTTCCTTAACGTCAAAGGTTAAAAGTATTTCGGTAAAGATTCAATTGATTCAGCAGGGCAACAATATGGAGGTACACAAGTTAAAAGGAAAAAATTCTCTTTTTACACGATTTGTTTTGTTTTAACACGATTTTTTTTGAATTTTTTCCTTTCGTTTTTGATGTTTCTATGAATATTCTCATTCCCACTCTTTACAAATATGTCTGGAATCAGTCTATTATTTTTTCGTTTGGACGTTGTCTTTTTTGTACGTTTTTTCCTACACGAATATTTTGTTTACACGAATTTTCTGAAAAAGTATCTGTCGTGTAAAAAGAGAATTAGGTGTACATTTATTTACCACATCAACCTATGTATATTTATATGTACGAAGAATGCATATACGAAATATAAATTATTTCTATTTAAAGACATTTTGCTGCTTAAATTGTTATTAATCCATTTCTGAAAATAAAATACGTCAGTGTAGAAATTTTCAGTGTACAATTCTTCTTCAAACGAATAACTTATCCAGGAGACAATACCGGTAATAAAGCCTTCGGAAAAAAAATAATTTGCTGCTATTAAAGTTATCAATGAAAATCTGACCTACCATCGCATATCAGAGGTCCGCCAGAATCACCGTGCAATATCTGTACACCAGTCAAATGCGGCTTTACGCATATCATGCCAGGACTCAAGAATAAGAAAAATGGAAATTCCAATGTGTCCTTTACTTCTTCACAAGGTACTATATAGAAATCACCGATTTGTATATCATCAGCCACGGGACCATTCTAAAGGTTAAGGAAAAGTTCATAATAAATACCTTCGAAAGTCAAAATCGCTTACATCATATAAACCACCCCAACCTAAACTTGTACAATTCGTATTTGGAGCGACAGGATATTGAGGTAAAGCAATTACTGAGACGAAATCATTATTTAAATTAAATTCATTCTCAAGTTTAATTAGTCCAATATCACAATAAAACGGCCAACCATTAATCCAGCGACGATGGACCAGAAGCTTTCTTGCGTTTCGAATTTGCGTCGTATTTGACTTTTCTGTACGTTGTGGTTGACCCGCAACTACTTTAATTGTGACAGGTGATGAAATCATACCTCTAGTCATAAAAATTTCAAGAAAAATAAATCCATACATGAAAATTCTTCTCCCTTGGCTTACCCTGTCATTAAGCAATGTGCTGCTGTTAGTATAAGATCGGCCTTTATTATATTACCGCCGCATATATGATTATTATCATTTAAAATGGAAACAACATGCCTGATCAGTTCATGATTGTTCGCATTGTAACCTCCTCTAATCGGGGATGCACTATGATCGCTATATCGAACGGACGTATTAAGCAAAGTTATTGCCGTTTCATTATCAAATGAAATTATTTCCCCTTTATTTTCGCAACTGTCCTCTATTTCTCTAGGATCTTCCATTTGAAACGTATTGATGAAATTTGATAGCAAGATGTTTAGAAAAATTAATGCTTTTAAAGAGTACAACATTTTCTTCAATGAGTTTACAAAAATAAAAAAAATAAAAAGACAAGAAGAAAGTCATAGAAAAAAGACAGTAGTAATGAGAAAAAAAGGAGGCAAAGGGAATAAATAATTAACTTATGCATCAAAGTTGGAATCCCTATTGAATCGATCAGTAAATGAGCGGTAGACGCGGCATGCAAAAGTAAAACGTATAAATATCCAAAACTCAAGCAGACCGACCTCTCTAAAAGTTGGCAAGTTAGGCACGAAAAAGTCCTAAACTCGAAAGATCAAAGCCTGATATTGCATAACCATTGTAAACTTGTGCTTCACGAGTTTTTTATTTAATGATCATTTTGCTTGTTACTTAAAAATTAAATCGAAATAATTGTAAATTATTTCCCCGACCCTAATTTCTAATACACTCAAGTCATTTTCGAATTTTAATTGCATTCTTCTTCTCTCTTGTCTCCTTTCTTTTTGTTCGCTTTCTTTTCCAGTTTTGAAAGTTTCTTTTTCATTTGCTGCTCTTCACATAAAATATCTCGAACTTGACGTGCTTCAATCAGGCTAATTGGTAATGGGGCGCATTTGAATCCAGCCGGATCGTCCTTTTGCAAACGTATAAAACGATTTCCGGTCGTATAATATAATGGGAGGCAGGCAGCAGGACGTATACGACTTTTGGGCCAATTTTTAATCAAAAACTCGTTTAAGTCCTCCTCCTCTTCCTCCTCTTTCTCTTCATTCCCTTTAACAGCTGTTTTCGAACCCGTCCAATACCAAGATCGCATTTCATGTGGGGCCTGCGAATATGCAGGTTTCCATTTTTTGTTCGGCTCACGGCAATGTAGACACCAAGATGATCTGGTTTCAGTGTAGAAATTAGGATCGGATGTAGGCCAAATACGCATTATTTTTGAATTTTTTTTTTAGTGAAAAAATGAATTCAGTAAGAAATTAAAAAGTTTTTAACATTAATAATAGGTTAACATTTTTAATAATATTTTTTATTGATTTTTATTGATTTATTTTCTGTCATTTCATTCATTTCCGATATGACTTTTAACAGCCATTCCAGTCACTAGAATCTGCCTTTATCGGTATGCAAGGGCTCTTATCTGCCATTAAGCCATATTTTAGACTTTTGCTTGGGCTTTAATCCGAAATTCAAGCATTTTAAGTTGCGGATCAGCAGTTCGGAGACATATGACAAATTTTTTGGTTTTTCTTAGTATGACCAAATACTCTAGAAGTGTCGTCTACACGTGCTACACAATCACAGTCACAAAGAATTGAGAAAAGGAAAAGAGATAGCGATTGGCCGCCGGCCAGGTATGTTCCACCGCATTGAGAATTGAACCTGTGAACGCTGACATGCCACTTGCAATTATATCCACGTAAGATGAGGCCTAATAAAATTTCAAGGAAAGATTTCTTCGCTTCGGTTTCCGAATCGCATTTTCAAAGACTGTAAACTTCGATATAATTATAGCTTTTTCAATAATCGCTTTGGAAGACAGTTCGCGAAGTAATTTTGAGACTTTGCTCTTACGCTTAGTAATAAGTGAGTAAATCTTCCGCCCTCGAAGACAATCTCTTTCAATTTTGACGTACTTTCTAGAAAATTCGAAGCGACTTTAATAATAGCACTTGCGCCTGTTTAAAGGAACCGATACTTTGTAGTTTCCGCTATTAGATAAGGTGATGGGTATGAAAATTTAACAGTGGATTAATTATAGTAAAAATAAAAGTTTTTTACATTTGCAGAAAACTCATCAAGAGTAAGGTTTTTTCTTCTTTGTTTTAAACTACTTTATACAAAAAGTAAATACTGGAATAGATCATATATATACACATATATATATGTATAGATATATGGATAAAAACTTAAACTATATTAAATCATAAAATTATTATAGAAATTTTTAGACCACATTCGGATTTTCATTCGGATCTATTAGGCGAATTAATGCGATGTTTTAATACGAGACAATCCTCGAACTTTATTTTTGATCTGTATTCATTCCATATAAATAAAATTTTTTTTTAAAAACATTACAAATTAATTTTAGAAATTTATAAAATATTTAGGTCGCATTTTTAAGGTGAACTCTCGGAAACGTTAGTTAAATTTCATAGAGCAGAATGCACTGTAAGCAGTTTCGTTTTGTTAGATAAATTGTAAAATTTGGGAACGTCCGGTTTAAAATGGGTTGGGTAAGAGATACATCAAACACATAGTACTGATATTGGCTTCATTTTAAAAGGAATTTGAGAGGGAAGGAACGTGAGAACGTCTAACTTAACACTGAGTCCATCAGACACGTGAATTATATTTGCATTTAAAAGTGTATACTGCCGTTGCCTTCTGTAGGTATTTCTTTTGGCAGCTAGCGCGGAGGTAATTGCGGGGATAATATGTCAAGAACCGATTGCTAACACTGCCTGATAAATCCCTTTTATGTGATATATAAAATGGATTTGTTCTCATGGTGCATCGAGTAGGCGATCTCAATTTTTTAAATACAAAAATTTTCAACGTTCCAGCGTTCGTCCTCGGGCCGAAGGAAATTACTATGCCAGATTTCATCAAAATATTACCAAAAATTTTCGGCTTTTAGGTTGACCACGAGAACACGAAAACGACAAAAGGGCAGACGGATAGGCAAGCTTAGATCGATACAGAGAACCGTTTTGCTATCGCTATAATAAGAGATGCTCTCAAATCCTCCTAGGCGTTGCATGGATCCGCAAAAACTTAATATATCCTTATATAACAGATGCTGTAGGGTATAACAATGGTTAAAATCCAAGTGAAAGTAAATTTTTAATCTACTTTGATTATTGTATTCTATTCGTGTTCTTTCTTTCTATAAACCTTATTTGAAAGTCGAGTTTTATGTGTATGGATACGAAAGGATACGAAAAAATGCTACAAATTATGAAATGAATTTCATAAAAACTTTTCGCCTTCATCGTATGATTAAGTAATGAAATTGCAAGTGCAATTTAACCTTGGGTAAATGTTTCTTACTTTAATAATAAATCTGCCGCGTTCTACGAAAGGGAAATTTTAAATTATTCCTTAATGCATATGATGAGCATGTTTTCAATAAAGTCGGCTTTTTGTTAATCGGGTTAATTGTATAAAATCTTCTAGCCATTCTTGCGTATTTAATTTAATTAATAATTTTAATTAATAAAAATCTTTTAGTAAGATTTTTCATAATTAATATAATATTTATATATATATATGATATAATTAACTTATTCCTTTTTTACAATTTGTACGAAAAATTTCCTTAAAACCAAGCTCATTTTTTTTATATTTTTATTAATAGAAAATTGGGCAACAAAATTGAGCAACAAAATTGGGCAACAAAATTGGGCAACAAAACTTAGCAACAAAAGATAGCAACTAAATAGAAAAGAAGAATCTGGTTTTATGTAAATAATCTTTTAAAGTGGTTTTCTTTTTAATTATAATTGAAAAAAAAAAATAAAAAATTGTTTATTATTCATTTTTTATTTTAACCTTTCAATAAGTTTGCGCAAAAAGATCTTAGTCTTTTTGCTTATTATCTCTCTCTAAGCTCTTCTGAACTTTTTCAAAATTTCTTTTATTTTTATAATCGTTTTACTTTTTACGTATACAAAATTATTAATTTTCTACTTTAGATTTTCGTGTTTTTTTTTTTATTTTTTTTTTACATATTTTACATTTGATTTCTCGATTATTGGATACGATTCGTGACTAGCTGTGACATTTTAAAAAGTAACCAAATGCATCTCTCTCCTAAGGAACAGATTGCTTTATTGTGTGTTTTTCTTTCGTTTTTCAAAACTTTTTAAAATATTATCAACGATTTTTTGCTTCCATTTAGTTTGCTCGTTCAGTGTCAAACGAAGATAAATACAATTTGCAGTCGTTTACTTTTAACTAGTGACATTGACAAAGTTGACATTCCATTTTGAATGGAAATATCATGTCCGGTTTATATTGAAAAAGAAAAAAGCAAAAAACTAAAGATCTAAAGCTCAAATTCGGGATTAAAAAAAGGAAACGAAAATACAAGATAAATTTGAAAGGTTTAAAGAGACTACTGAAAAAACGAAGAAAAATGGAAATGCAACATTGAGATTTTGGCATAAAGTAGAATAGATTACACATTGCTTGGATATTCAACACGAATAGTGATTCTATAAGAGATGAGGGAGAGGGAGAGTTAAAGTGCAAATGAGGCTAAACGAAATGTTGAAGTTTTAGAGATGAAAATTTGTTGAGATGAAGAAAATAAAATATTAAGAGCTTTAGGAAAGAGAGAGAGTTAGGAGAGAGAGAGAGAGAGAGCTTGAAGAGAAATAGATTGATTTAGAATGATCCAGAGAGCAAAAGAGAGGGAGAGAGCAAGTGGGAGACAAATAGGAATATATAAGAAAACGCAGAAAAAGACAAGCAGAGAATGGAACCGTCTTTTGTAATATGTAGTACTGACTCGAAAAGGGAGCTATGGCCAGAAAGAGAGTGAGAGAGAAAAATAGGCTGACATTAACTCAAACCATAATGATTAGCTCCAAGATAAGGGAGCTGATTGATATTCAAGGAGAGAAACATGGCCGGGTGAGCACCGACTTCGCCTATCATTTCCTTGTTGTTTTTCAATTTGCGTGAAAGCGCCTACCTAATTTTTTTTAAAATTAATTGGTCTACCTAAAATATTGCGATAATGTTTTGTCAATTAGTTAATCATTGTTAGTTTCTTTTGAAGAATAGATTGAAGTATAGATTTCCACACTGTAACTTACTGAAGATATTGCATTGTAGCATTTTTGCTTCACTGTGAACCGGTAGAAAGTTATATCCAGCAGTAGCTTGCAGAATAAGCAGTGATGCATTCATTCGTATATATATTAGATAGTTCGAAAATTTCTTGCCGCTTTTTCCGGCACCAGGTTAAAATAAGTTCTTTCAGGTACCTAAACAGATAATTAGAGTTAAAGAAAAATGTAGTTATGTCGAGTGTCTTATGCTTGTATTATAGTAGTGAGACATAAATAAGACTTGGAGGATCGAAGGGAGCATATAAGATATATTTTACATTTTTATTTCGCAAAAGATACAAATAACTGCAAAAGCACATAGGGAAATATGTGCTAACTATGGGGCAGTTGCTGTAGGAGGTCCCGCTTGGTAAAATTGGTTTGCAATGTTTTGTTCTGGAGATTTCCAGCGAAAGCTTCAATGCATTCTGATAGGTGAAATACTATTGGTGATGACCAACTAAAAGATACGATTGAAGTATGTCGTCGACGATTCGTGAGATTGCCGAAAAGCTTAACTCGTTCAAAACAACTAGTCTTTGTATTCCTTATACAAAAAAAAAATTCTTGTATTTCATAATGAAAAACCGCAAGAAATTTTCGGACTATCTATACTTGGCAGCATTCAAAAGTATGCTTACATATTTCATTCTATTTAATAATGTTGGGGCCGAGAAGGATGAATTTTGCTGGGCACTTGAGATCATGTTAGATTTAACTTTAACACTAAATGGAAAAATTGTTTATCCGTATGGTCCGATGGCGAGAAGGAGCGAGCGCGAGAGAGTGAGGGTGAGGGTGAGGGTGAGAGAAGTAGGCGAAAATTTTGGACCAAGCTTATTTTTTGTGATATCAAACGAAAAGCGGGCACGATTCGATCAATGCAATCATGTGCGCTAACCAAGAAGACTGCGTGCTGCTACACAAATCTCATATGCAACGAAATGTGCCAAATTCTAGAGATGATAAACCCCAGATGCACATCAATGATGCTTTCCTTGTCAACGCAGTTGGCGACTCCCGAAAAGATTAACAACAATTCAAAGCACCTTGGCCAGTTAAAAAGGGCTAACGCCGCAATTGAATTTGTTATTGATAACTTGCTTGTAAATGTGTATATAAGCAAAGTATTTACGGTAGGCAAAGTCAGTCGAGTCAAAAGAGTTGAAGCGTTATATTCAAACGGGCAAGACCAAAATATGTATTGTATATATAATTTCCTGCAAATAATTTGTAAATACATCCCTTTAGGATTGTATATAAAACCTATGCTATCCGCAAAATCAAAGTTCGATGGTAAGAAATTTCACAGAAATCGGATGAATATGTAAAATCATAAAAAGCATTTTATGTCACAATGCTTGTTAGGGACTCTCCGATATATCCTTTTATGTGTGACATATCGTTGGCAAATTATTTGTTATATAGTCTGTAGGAGGCGTATAATATGTGCGAATTTTACTTACCCTATTCGCCGATTCGTAATATGGAAACGATGACCATAGACCGAGTTGAGTGTAAGCGCTATTTACATCTTTCCGTTGTTTTTTTTTTTTCAAGTTCTCGTTCTCTCAAGTTGAAGTAAACGTTATGGTTCATTCAGTCTGAGAAAGCTGTTTGATTTTTAGCGCAAACCCATTTCAAAGGTGACAAAGGTTTTTCTAGCTATGGGTGGGTCAGAAAGAAATGAAGAAAGAGAAGAGAGCGAAGTGTGATGCCTGAGCACTTAGTACAACCAAAGAAAATTCTACCGCATTTGAGATTTGGAATTGCGAACACTGACTTGCCACTCACGATTTTTAATCATTAGCCTACCTACATTGCGAACCCTACATTGCTTCTGGTATGAGGGTATATTAACTGTGGGTGGTCGTACACAATATCTAAGAGGGCTTGAGACAAACTTAGCTTTTATTATTACGAACGGTCCAGAATCGCTTTCTAAATTGAGCAAAGTATGTCTGTCCGTCTGTCCGTCCGTCCGTCCGTCCATTTTGTATTCTTCTATTAACCCTAGAGGTCGTCATTTTCTAAAAATTTTAATGAAAACTGTTAAATCGATGTGTTTTCGTATAGAAACGAAGGCTATTGACTATGATTCGGATCGGATCACTTCTTCGAACACTTCCCATATAAAGCCTTAATATGAAAAGGCATTATACATAACTCTATTAGACAGTGTTATCGGCTTGTTTTTTTTTTTTTACTGTGACTAGCGACCGATCACAACGGCAGAATACACGCCTAAGTCTAGGATGATGATAAGAAGAAAAACTACCTGACAAAGGGGAATAGAAGATAACTACAGAGTGAAGATAATTACAAGGTATATAGAAAAAAAATTTGAAACTAATTTATGCGAATTAAAATACAATGTTTGTCCTTAAAATATAAAACTTCAAGCTGTAAGACAAACTAAAAGTTTGTTAACGGGAAAACCTAACATATATCACTGATTACTTGTTTTTTTTAACCAAAACACAAGTTTCACAGAGCGAAAAATTTTGTGCGTGTTTTTGACTTATAACAAAAAATTAAACAATTGAAAAATTTTCGCACTTTGTTTTTCCTTTTTTGTTGTTGTTGTTTTTTTGTTTTTTTTTTTGTTTTGTTTTTACAAAATACTAACTTTTACTTATTTGTGGGTGTTGTTGCTGTTGCTGTTGCTGTTGCTGTTGTTTTTTTTTTTCCTTACCTATACTACTTTTGTGGTTTTTATTGTTTGTTCTGCTTTCCTATGCACTGTCGGTGTGTGCGTGTGTGTCTCTGTGTGTGTTTGTATATATATGGTTGTATGTATGGCAAACTGCCATAATATGTTAGAGAATATACGCTTTGTTTCTAGTTTCTTACTTACTGCTATAACTGTTGCTTAGGATTTGTTTGTTTGTTCGCATAAAAATTTGCATTTCCAACTGTTTCATTACTGTTGTTGTTGTTGTTATTATTATTATTATTATTATTTTTGTTCTTGTTGTAGTAATAGTTGTTTCTCAGTAGTTTGTTGTTGTCTATAGTGACACTATGAAATTTCCTTAAACTATCAGCTTGTAAAGTAAACAACAGCTTTTTTGCTTTATTATCATTACCATCAACAGCATCAGCCCTATGACTAGTTTCGGTAGTTTGACTGCTGACAGGATATATTTGTGTTACAGCAAATGAGGTTACAAATGATGTTTTCATGTTTGTCTTGACATTAATGCGATCTTCGTTCCGTAGGTGTTGATTCTGATTTTGTTCTTGTTGTTGTTGTTGTTGTTCTAATTCTAGTTGTAATTCATTTTGCAACCGGTAATTATTCATTTGTTATGGAATTTGCTGTAAATAAGGAAGTGTATGCTATTGGCGCTGGAAAGGTTCTTGCTGCTGTATTGCTGACATTTGCTGCGGTTGATGTTGCTGCTGCTGCTGCTGTTGTTGTTGTTGTTGTTGTTGCTGCTGCTGCTGCTGCTGCTGCTGGTGGTGATGTTGCTGCTGATGTTGCTGTTGCTGTTGCTGGGGCAGAGTTAATAATGCCGAAGTGGTGGCTGCCAATAAAGAGGATGCTGTCTCAGTTAAATTCTTACCGTAACGTCCTCGCTCCATCGTCTCTTTCATTAAACGTTCATTCTCTTGTCGAACTGTAACATAAATGTGAATGCATTGAAAATTTGTGTTATCAAATTAAGTTAAATCACAATTTCCTTTCTATTTACAATCTTTACACATTAAATGGAACATTATATTATTTTATATATATATTATTTATATATGTATATATGGTACATATATATATATAAGCGTGTATTTTCAATTTGTTGCACATTGGTTGAAACTGCAGTTGAAGTAAATGTCTGGTGATGAAATCTTTGAAATCCATTCATCAATCCAGACTATTTACTTTAAATACAATTTACCATTTGAACGTTTTACGCAATGACCGTAAAATTACTCTTTTATGTATTTCAAAAAGCAAAAAAAAAAAAAAAAACAAAAAAAAAAAATCAAGAGAGATTGACTTTTCAAGTATATGTTGGTTATGGCAGCAAAAAAAAAAAAAAAAAAAAAACTATTATATATGTATAACCTGTAGATTAAATCTAATAAAATTTGAATATTAAAGTACTGAGACTTACCTTTCCCAACAGTTAGCATAAGAATTTTATTTCATATCATATCATATTTTACAGCAAAGAGGCAAAAGAGATGCAGTTAAAACTAAATTGCTTTAAATCCAAGGGTTCTGCTAAATTTACGAGACTAAGTACAGTAAGTAAGCCATCATATATCTACGATTTGCTGACCATTGATACTATCAGTCTTTCGTATTAAATATGAGAGAATAACTTTATTCATTCGTGAATAACAATAATACAGTTCGGATTTTGGGCTGGACGTTGCACATCGAAACTTTTAACCTACGTCACGGAGTCCTTTAGAAAAGACATCAATGTTGATAGAAGCTGTCTTTTTATCGCTTTTGATTTCACATAGTCTCGTTTACTAAGCTTATTGCTGCTTGTGATTGTTTATTTCAGATCGTAAACAGTTTGTTGCTGTGAATGAGTCCAACTTCTCCCTAACAGAGACCACGTCTGGTCTACCGCGTAAAGATCAATTTGTTTGTTGCTCCCCAATGTTTAATATCTTCGTACATGATCTTGGCGATTTGTTTGGTAACGATTGCGCTTATATTGCATATGCAGATGATATCTTTCTGTTTTATAGATATAATGCAAATAACTTGCATTCGTTCGAAAACAATGTAAGCGAGGCTTTAGCAACTTTATGTTAACTCCTAGATGAGAGATAATACGCTTACCTTATTCTTTAATCCTTCCCGTCCTGGTGGCATACAGTCCCAATATAAAAATATCCGGGAATTCTATTGATCATGTAAATTCAATGCAATGTCTTGGTGTAGCCCTTGATTGGAAACTCAACTTTGATCGTCCATATTGACAATGTCTCTGCTAAAGTTTGTCTTACGCTCCGAAAATTGTACAATCTAAATCTATATCTGCCCCTAAGGGTTAAACATACTTATTGCGCTTTCCCGCCTTCTGATGCATGTTAATAATTGTATTGAAGTCTTTTCTGGATGCCCAACCTAGGCTTCAAAGTGTCGTTAACGAGATAACATGTTTGGTTTATAGCCTCAAACTAAGAGACCATAATGCCTCCTTCATTCATACTTTCTTTCCCGGTTATCTAAAATTTCGGTTGCTTATCTACCCCTGCAAAATCATATAAAATCGATCCCCAAGCCTTTCCATTGAACAATCGCTATTCTCCACATCGAACAGAAACCACATTTTTCTAATTCATTTCATTGTTCGTGTTGCTAAATATTGGAATATCTTACCACTGAGTCTGAAATCTTTCGATAATTCCTTGAATTCCTTGAGTAGAAGAAAATTGACCACATTGCTAATTTGTTGCTGGTAGGAATTGAAGATTACAGAGTCTATCGAGTGAGTTAATTACATTAGCAGTCATCTAACTGATTTATATACTCATTTATGTTATAGTTTTTTTTTGCAGGTCTATGGACTTATAGTTACTTAATAAATGAACAAAAAATATATATATGTATACCATGGAAGATAATGTTATGTAATAATTTGAAATGTAATTACAACCGTAACACTTATTATCGAGTACATAACAATTCTACTCAATCTATTTATAAGGTGAGAAACCAGGACCATTACTACGACTACTTGTAGCGGGAATTGTTGTGGCATTCAGTTGTGAAAAACTAATCAAGTGGAAGACCAGCCTATCTTAGCCCTGTAGATGGAAGGCTCTGAAAATAATTTGAATCAGTCAGTAGGAAATTGGGTTTCAAAGAAAACTTCAAGAGTTTTTGAAAGAACAAGTTAAAGACTTGTCTTACAATACAAGCCCTTTATATAGCGATGCGAGATTGTACAGTGATTATATGTCATCAATTAATCAAATAAACATTTTTCTTACACTTTAAATGACTGTACCGTGAATAATTTGTGGTAAAGGGTATATGAAGTTAGAAGGTCTTAAGACAGAGAAACATTTTATTACACCAATCAATTCCGAAGCCTGTTTGTTTGTCTGTCCGTCTGATGTTGTTCATATATTTTTGTGTTTAGCCTACAGACAAGTACAGGCAGTACAAGGCTGAACTTTATTGAAGATGGTGTTGATTGGTTCATTTTTTTTAATCACTCTCCATATAAAGTCTTCGTTTGAAAAGTCACATATATGGTAGTTCGCAAAATTTTTCGACAAAACTTGCTAAGTAATAGTACTTCGATATTCCAAATTAGTATGAAAAATTTGATTCGCCTGAGGCAATTTTTTGAAGTCCTATCGAACTTCATTTTTTTATGGTAAAATAGTTTTATATTCAACATTGGAAGGTTGGTGGGTGGAATTTGGTTCGTAATAGTAAATTGACAAGGAAGTCAATTTTATCGAATTTGGACTGCGTAAATCTATTTTTTTAACTACCACCGCGTATAAGGATCCTCAGGCCTACTATCCTTTACAGGCTTAATTTTAGGAGAAAAATTTTTTCATGACTATAATATGACATAAAAATTATGTGGACCAAATTTGAACCACATGGATCTATCTCTTGGACCCTATTCGATATAGTATTTCTCGTGAATAGTCAGAAAATTGGTCGATTGTAGCAACTTAGCAAAAAATTAACGGTTAATTGACTTGGATCACTTAGGTTCATTTTTTAGACATCAGCCTGTATGATGAAAAGCAAGCCTTTATAGGGAGGGAAAGTCTAATTTTTAGTTTTTTTGTAACAATCTTGATCACAAAATCTGGGGTAATTTCTATCTCATTATGTATAATGAAAAGCAAGAAGAAGATGAAGATAAATTATATTTAATTATGGTGAAATTTAAGCAAGAATGTTATCACCTTGTTCTTGAGTAGCTTATAGATAGATAAAAGATCTTTGCTGTGATTAAAATTTCACTAATAGTGACTGACCTACACTCGAAAATACGCTTTCAGTTTAATTACGCAAACTTGAAGAAAAATCTTTACATTTTTTTTTTAATATTTTTTTTTTCAATAAAATTTTTAATCTGTTTTCATTTTCTTTCTTTTATGGTAATTCACTTCTAGTTAGTAATACACTTGGGCATCAAGTTTATAATTGGTCTCACATTACCCAATTATTGCGGAAAATTATACAAAACACATAACAGAGTAACAACTGTTAATAGTTTCTTAAAATACAAAATACAAAATACAAAAAAAAAAAAAATATATGAAAATTATTTTACCCTAAAACATTAGCAAATACACAGCAGTTTGCAATGAACTTTTCAAATATGTGTTTAACAATTCTGTAGAGGATTAAATGTATTTAAATAGAATATCTAATTAACCTACCAGTTTCGTGTTCATAACGTTATATACCGTACGTAACGGCTTTACAAATATTTTTATACCCATCACCGAAAGATGTGGAGTACATTCATTTTGTCAAAACGTTCGCAAAAACCCAGACGAAAACCTCGGAACCACCATAAAGCATATACATGTATACTGTTTGTTCGTTCGTCTCTCGACCTACTTGCCTGTCTGTGTAATAATTTGCAGCAAAAATTTTGTTCACCCTTTAAAACTTGTATATATATATACTCGATCAGGACCTAATCCTTTAGCGATTTGGGCATGCCCGTCTACCTGTCTGTGTGTGTGCGTAATGTATTTGATAAATATTCTCCCCTACGGCTTCAAATTCGACACAACAATTACAAATGCTCAAAGGCCAGTCAAAGGCCACATCCACAGTACAACGTAACTTGACATTACCTCTGCTGTTCCCAAAAATGAAAAAAATTGCTCTTATGCTCGCTAGGAAAAAATCGCAATAGATGAAAAAATTGCAACAACTATAAAAAAATGAAAAAAATCAATAACCTACCTGCTTACCTAACTAACTCAAAAGCCTACCCAATATTATAAAATATTAAAATTTTTTAATTTTCTCAAAACGTTTGTAACAACCAAACACAAGCTTCGGAGTGCATACATAATATAGAAGTATGCTTGTCAGTTTGTCTGTCTATCTGTCTGTTAAACGTATTCCTGATCCCCAATTTGGATGGAAGTCGTTGCACGTGAACTGATATTGAAAATGGGCCAAAAAATACTTGTCCACCGTACCATATAGGAATGAGCCGTTTCATCGATTAGGCACATCTCGATTTTCTGGAACTTTTCGTTATAAACTAACTAACAATAGACTGATGATAACAATTTTCACTTTTATTCTACAGATATGGAAAGAATCAGCTAAGCCCCCGCCATACTATAGAGTATGGAAATTTTTAAGTTTTCTTTAGGATAACGTTGATCGGGATAAAAGATTCGGTCACGGCCGTATATAATTTACTTATTTGTTTTTTTTTTCTCTTTGATTTTTCGTAAGCTTCACACTCGCACATAATGAATTTTCAAAGTTTTCAATATTCTGCCTTCACCGTCCTTTTCCATTTCATAAAATGCAGTACTTGTTAGCCTTTATTGTTTATTCAGTTAATTCTTTCCCCAAGAGATATTGCGTTTTATTTTTTACTTTTTTCAATTTTGGTTTTGGTAACTATGCTACTGTTGCGCTTCTGACGATAACGATGGCGATGATGATGATGATTTGTATGTCGCTCTCTGCTTTGAACAAGTTGTTAAACATTGTAAAATTGAAAAAAAAAAGAAAAAATAATTATATCAACCTCTATATTTTCCTTTGCCATGTTAATAGGTCTAGGTGGTTGTAAATTTAATAACTCGTGTGAAGGTTTTATAATAAGAAAAGCAAAAAAAGAAAAACAAGAAAATTATATTCGGTCGTGATCGAATCTTTCACACCCACCGCCGTTATCGTACAAACGACTAAAACAAGTAAGAAAGTTATATCCGGCGGGAGTCAAATCTCGCGTATCCCCCACTATGCTTTTCGCATTCTACTCCCAAAGTTCTTTTACTTGATACCCATATCGATGGTATTATTACGAAAAAGTTTATCGCGGTGTCTACCTTATTCATTTTAGAATTAACCCATTTTTAGGCAGACAATATATCTTCATTTGAGGAATGCATGAAATAGTTTTAAAGATTCTGTCTTCTTTGCGTGATAATAAAGAAGCATAAAATCTCGAAAAAGTGAAATAAAAAAAAAATTTAATTACTCGCAACTCTGTGTAGGAACGACCGATTGGTTCTATTTTCGGACTGTCCCGTAAAGTAAATGTGGAAAATTTCAGCCTTCTAACTTTAATAATCTCCGAATAACGAGCAAAAATCCAAAAATTTTTGCTAAGAATAACTGAGTTCCGTTCAGTTTACGCTCCATTGCGCGCTTCTGCTTCGACTAATTTGGCCCATTTTCAATAACAACCTGCGTTCAAAAATTTCGAATCTGTTTACAAAATTTAAAGTCGACATCTTCATTTTGGCGATCAGAAGAATGTCAACAATAAACACCACACAGATGAACGGACATGGCTTCGTCAGTTCAGAATTTAACGTTAATCAAAAATATATATACACTATAGCGCGTCTGAAGCTTCCTTTTTGGCGAACGAAATGAGTTTATCCCCATCCTTCAGGGGTGTAAAAGCGCATAGGCATATAGGCGTTCCGGTTTGGGTCATTTTCAAATTCTTTTGCAAATTTTTAGGCGATATGTGCACTTTTGCGAGCGGGAGAATATTTACCGCACATACTGCACAACTGGGCAGACGGGCTGATGAATAGACGACGGCGTGGTAAATTTTTCCACTTTTATACAAGGACTATAGCATTACCCATAGACTATTCGCCTGAGTGGCCGAGTAGACAAAGAGTCTCGACTAGCAACTCAATAGTCGTGGGTCCAAAACTCAAATGGTATGGTAGAGTTTTTAATAAAGCCGATAGCATTAGATGCTAGTGCTTTAACACTTTAGTCTTGGAATTTATTCTCTGGCTAAATTAATAATAATAATTAGAATAATAATATCCATAGAATATACGTTCAAGTTGTTGTAGATTAATCTGCTGTAGTTTATGAGTGACGAGGAAAAAGCCAAATTTTTCATTTCTTCTGCAAAACTGAGTTGTTATGTGGTACTGTAGTCGTGCCTTTTCATCGCTTCGCCTCATTTTTAATACCAATGTGCAATGAGCAAGAATTTCCAATGTTTTTGCCAAAATTGAAATAGACAATTGAATTGTTTTTGCAGTCAAGAGAAGTTTTGCAATAGATATTGCACAGATCGACGGACATGCTTAAATCGGTATAGGTTTCACTGCTTATGCAGAATAAAGGTGCCTGCCGGAGTCAGAAAAATTTTTACTACAGTTATTACAGGACGCAGGAGAAAAGGGGAACGGATGGACGGATGGACGGATGGACGGATAGGCGAATAAAGAGACATGCTTAAATTGGATCACAATTCGATGCTCGATGATCAACACTCTTCTGGGTGTTGCAAACGATTTGACAAAATTAACATACACTTTATCCTTCGGCGATGGATATAAAAAAAAATTTTTAAATATGTGTAAAGCAAACGAAAGTATAACATACTTTTGTGCTTCAAATTTTTCAAAGCATTTTCAAAGCATACATTTAGCTGCTGTTGTTATATTTAATATCTTTTGAAATGTTCTCAGCTGTTTATAAAAGAAGAAGAGAAAGTAATTGTTTTATGGGAAAACATAATCTTTTCTACTTGTTATAACGTAGAAAAATTGATTATTGAGAATCTTTACAATTAAGTCAAAATGAAAAAACTAAGCAAGCTTTCTATTAAAGTATAAAGAGAGTTCAAAATTTTCAACAGTCTAAAGCAATATTAAATGTATGCTTTATGAATGAGTGAATTAATGATAATTGGATATATATGAAATTTCGTTGAAAATGAAAAAGTCTTGATTATCCTTGGACAAGTAAATATTTCCTCAAAAGCAACAATTCGATTAACCTTGCAAATGTGTAGCACAAAAATTTAAGTTTAACTTAAACGAACGTTGAAAGCAGAAAGATTTTTAGGTGAAAGGTTCAGTTGAACCATAAAAAGCATCTGCAGCATTTAATTCTCTAATCTAATAAGAATTAAGTGAAAAGTGAAAAGAAAGTATTTACTGCACACCATTAAATTGACATAATGTAACCACCAACAGCTGTTAATAGATTATGTACGCATTTTGAAAATATCTCATGTCGAATGCAAACAAAAATTGTATGCTATATATATATACATTAGGTTTCGCAATCCGACAATATATGGGCGAGCAAGCTAAGTTTTTAAGGGATACAATGAATGAAATAGTAAAGAGATTAAAGAAAAAATATGAGAGCAGCGGAAATATTTAACAAAACAAGGATCACTTTAGGACAAATACGTATGTTACTCAAGGTTTATGCGAAGCAAAAATTGAAAGGAAGCATAAAAAATGAAAAAAACAAAAAAAAAAAAAAATAAATAAAAAAGACAAACAAATTTTACTGTCATTTTTCTTTTCAGTGGACTGTGACTGTGACGATGTTGACGACAACGCTACTTAATATATGCATACGTTGCTGCAAACAAATCTATTGTGTTTGGGGCGAGGCCACTTTTAAAAAATAATTTTTCTTTTCATCTTAAAACAAAAATGCAAAAAAAAAAAAAATTAATGTATTTGAAGTGGTAGTACTTAACACACATACACACACACTGATAGACGATAGTTGGTATTGTCGTGGGTACATAGCGCTGCCAAGTGACTTTTCATTGTCGTAAGCATGCTCATCTTCATCTTTAACGTCAGCAGTTCCTTTTTTTTTCCATCTTCTTCTTCTCATTTTTTTGTTTTTGTTTTGGTGTTAACCGTAAAAGAAGAAGGAAAAAAAAAAAAAAAACGAAAAACGGAAAAGAATAAAAGCCATCTGAGCAGACCATGTCACCAGCACGAAATACTGTGTTATATTACTTATAAATACATTTTAATATAAAAGGGGAATACACATACGCATACACATGTACATACTATATGTACAATATATATGATGTAAACAATAAATAGTATACACATCCGCTTATCTTCATGTATGTGGAAAAAAAAAAAATAAACAAAAATGAATAAATATAATCACACTTTCGGCTACACGAATACAAACATAACTGTCAATATATAAACGCGTACATTGCGAGAAAAACATACTGTGTGGGCTTATATATGTGCGAAGTTGACACCGCTCACTCATGCACTTGTGACATTGATAATGTCATCATGTCGTTTTTCTTTCGAAATTTCACGTAGCCGTCTATTTCGTTTATTCGAAATATATATTTAAAAATAAAATTAATTTAATAACAGTTTGGCTTCACTCTCTCTCTCTCTCTGTCTTTCGCCCTCTGTCTACTTTCTCTTTTTATCTTGTTGGACTGTAGATAAAATGTTTTCATTTTCAATTATTTTCCTCATCCATCAATGTAATGCAGATGCATAAATACCAATGCAGGTCAACATATACATAACAATATGTTTTTCTCATAATGCTAGCGAACGGACAACAAAAAAAAAAAAAAAGTCAAGGGGTTAGTAAATAATTTTTCTATTTTTAGAATGACTGTTGGAAACACTACATCACCATAAATATTTGTAAACTATACGTAAACATAAACACATTACCGTTATAGTGTACAGGAACCTCGCGATTGTATGAATACGTTTTCTTTGTTGTTAAATGATGATGATGCGTTTGCCCCGAAGAATGGGTTAAGGTCATAATTACAACAAATACACTGGCACATACTAAGCATAAAAACACTGTCATCACTATGCAAACAATACGTTTACGTTTGCGATCTGACTCCTCATCTTCATCCGTTTCATCGCTAAGAGATTTCTTTTTTAATGGAGGCTTATGGGAACCAGCCAGCGATGGTTTACGTGCCATACCGCCTGTAGCTTTATGATGAAATGGTCTTAACACTTGTTCGAAGGCAGCGTCACTCAGTTCATAAGTTAATGAGGGTTTGCGTTCAAATGATGGACGTTTCTCTTCGATAAAGGCGCTCGTGGCCGCCGCTGATGATGCGGCAGACGATAAAGATACCGGTCGGGGACTTCGTTTAATATCTTCTATAGTGGTGGCTCCGGTCGCACCGGTCGCAGAAGACAGCGGTCGTCCACTGTTACGTCGGTGGGGTGAAGTAAGCTCGACAAATTCGTTAGTAGCTACATTAATGGGTGGTGGGTAAGTGCCGTCCGCTATAAAACTTTTCGATTTTTTACTAGCGCTTAAAGTTTCGCGATAAGTTTTCAAACGCATACTGGCACTGTGTAAAGCTTTAGCCTGTTTAAGACTGCTCGCACTGGCATTGGTACCTTGAAAGGCAGCGGCAGCTGCCAAAACTGTGGGACGATGATGGACCTGTAGCTCGTCGAGCGCGTTAGGTGATAGGTAAAGTGAACGGCCGTGCTGAGCGCCACGTTTAAAATGATATGCCGCAGTGGCCGCAGCGGCAGCGCCATGCAAATGCAACGAAGAATGTGTAGATGCGGCTGCTGCCGCTGCCGCTGCAGAGGTGGATGGTCGTCCATCTAATTCTAAGCTATGTGTGCTGTGCTGTCTTGATGTGTGTGGATGATCACGTTTTTTTAAACTACTGGTAGCGGCTGCCGGATGGCTGGCGGAACTTATTATCGCTTCCTCAAAGGAACCTGAGGTTTTGCGTATACCTGCACTCCTTGGATGTAGTGTTGCGTCCGTTGTCCCCACATCGTCCATTTTCGTGTGACTGTTACTGCGCGAACGTGATTCTGCGAAGAGTTCATTTTCTAATGACAGTGTTGCTTGCGGCATATGCAGGGAACGGGCATCGTTCGGATCTACAAGATCATCGTTCAGAGAAGGGTGACGTATTTGTGATTCGGTTACCGTATCCGGTTTACCGCTAGGCCGTCGACTTGGCTCATGTAGAGAACGATGTGAACGACACCCTCGACGACTTGGCGATGGAGAACGACTTAAATCCTTTGTAGAAGCATGTCCAGGCATTAGAAAATTGCCTCTTACTGAACTCGTACGTCGAGATGATGAAGCCGAGGGAGTTTGTGCACCAATAGCACCTAATAATAAGGGATCGACTAAAGGGCCGCTGTCGGTGGGTGCATGAAAGGAATGGGTTTTCTTCATCTGAAAAGTAGAAGCCGGATGTATATCAATAGTATCGGAACGTCGAAACATGCTTTTCTTAAGTGGGTGCGTGGCAGCATGACGACCGTGCGTTGGCGGCAGCATATAATCATCAATAAATTGTATAGGCGATGAACTGCCACCCACGCCTGTCGTACCGACAGCCATATCTTCGCCGAGGCTGCCACTACTGACTAAGTAAATGTCTGGATGTTGTTGTTGGTGCTGTGTTTGACGGGCCCCACCACCGAGCACCGGACTAACAGCATGCGAGGTAGGCGAACTGGCGGAGCTGGAGTGGTGTTGCTGTTGCTGGCTGTATTGGCGGGCTGATGATGCCAAGTGTTGAAACGAAAGCATGCGTTGTTGCTGCTGGCGTGCAGAGAGTGCAGGTGAAACAGCTCCACTACCGCCTCCGCCACCGCCACCGTGGTGCAGAGCTGTGGGTAGTGCAAGCGTTTGTGGCGGTGGGGCTGAGCGTATGGCAACCGGCGAGGCTGCCCTATGTATTAACGGCTGTTCGATAATCAAAGACGAATCCTCAAACCCCCCTCCAGCCGCCCCTTCATAATTATCAATGGCCATGGAGATAGAGCGATTAATTGCTTTTAGTTTAGGTGGCTTCTTTTTCGTAGCCGGATTATCGAACGACGATTGACCGGTGTATTCGTCAGATGCGGTCATGTACGTATGAGCGTGATGGTACGGCTGCTGACCACCGCCGGCGCCACGCTCCATACGGTAGTAATAGCGGTGCGGATATCTATGGTAGTAGTGTGCAATTGTGCGGCCGTAATGTGAACAACGTTTATAAAAAAAAAGTGTTGGTGATGAAGGTGGTTTTTTGTGGTGGTGGGTATTTTTTTTTTTTTTTTTTTAGCTTTTTACAGCTAATTTTGTGCGCTCTAAGTTGGTGCTTGGTGTGGTGGTATTTAAAAGTGAGAACAGGGTGGTATTAATGTTATAGCACAATGTGCGTGATACAAAGTACACTTATACATATAGAACAGCTCACACTCGTATCATTCGCTATTAGCTTCTAGTTATTCAAAACGATTTGCTTTTTTAGATTATTGCAGATTTTTTTTTAAGTTTATGATAGATATTTGTGTTTTATTTATTGTCACATGTTGTTGTTTTAGTTGTTGTTCTTGTTGTTGTTGTTGTTGTTGTTGTTGTGAATTTGTTTAGCATTTTATGCTGTTAAAGCTTAAGTGATTTTGTGAACAAGAAATAAATAAAAATATAATACACAACTAGAGATAAGGAGAAAAAAAAGAAGACAAGTAGCAAGGTGAGAGTTTTTTTTTTCTTTTTTCTTTTAATATCTAGGTGTCCACAATACAGCTATATAAACATTAAAAGCATTACAAAAACATTGAACGCAAATTACTTTAATTTGTTATTATGTCTCAGTCTATTAGAGATAAGAGCCAAGACATCCTTGTCTACTTGTATGTGATATAAATTTTGCTTAAAATTTCTCATATATTAAGAGACAATGGTTGAGTGAAAAGATAAAAAGCCATTTAACTCTGAGAAACTACAAAGTATTTGGTCGTGTGGAAACAATGAAACATTGTCGTTGGCTGCAATTAAGAATAGATTTATAGATTGATGGATATTCTCACACGCTATCACTGTATGAAGATTAGCCTTAACAAGCCATTCTACCATACTCCTTTTCGCATGGACTAGTGTTTGTATTTGATTTAGCAAAGTTATAACTAAACGATAAATTGCTCTGTATCTCAGAAAACAATTTCTTCGAGCCAAAACTTCACTTTAAAATTTTGAGTTTATGTGGTGTAGGAAGAGATTTATTAAATCTATATATTATGTATAAGAAAGCAGGCTTTTTCATGTCTTTCTCATCCTATATCTGGTATTAGATTAATGCACTTTACAAGACACTCTCTAATGCAACTATGTGCTTAATTTAAAAAGATTAAAATTTTTGACATTATGAAAATACTATATGAAAAATAATCTATTAATAAAGTTGAGAGTTTTTGGTTTCTAAATTTTTTTTTTTTTCTCAAAATTTAAAAATTCAAAAAAATAATGAGATTCTGGCCTATACCTGATGTTGATTTCTACGTTGAGACAACACCGCTTTGGTCACGCTATTGTCGCGAACCCAACATCAAATGGAAAGCACCGAAATCGCAACCACCCCATGAAATATGTTATTGGAGAGACTTGCAAGGAGCTAAGAAGAAATATATCGAAGACAAAGATTTGCTATTTAAAGATTGGCCCAAAAATCGTTTACGTGGACCTGCTTGCTTGCCGCTATACTATGGTGTGGGTAATCGATTTATACGTTTAGAAAAAGCACCTCCTGCCGGTTTCAAATGTGCGCCAGTACCACTTTCTTTGGTCGAAGCACGCAAAGTGAAAGAAATTTTAGACAAAGCCGCCTTAAAGAACGCACCCAAACCCGAAGAGAAAGAAAAGAAAAAGAAGAAGAAGAAGTAAAAAATGAAAAATGGTATACTTTAGCGGCCTATAGACAACAACCTCAGAAATCAACATCAAACAAAATTTTCTAATTATTTCGATTTATGTTTTGTTTTACTTACAATGTTTTTGATTTGCAAAATTATCTGTTGACAAAATAAATGTTTATACCTCCATTGTTCATGTTTACTTCTCAAAAGAACAATTTCAACATTACTTTTTCAATCGATATTCTACAAATTGATTTTAATTCCTTTAATTTGTCTATGCGTTCATTCTATCATCAGTGCAGTGTGCAGATATATCCCAATTTAATTGACAAGGACACTTAACGCTCAGTATTACTACTCCGCCCAAATTAAAAAACGTAATATATTTTTGCGATATGGGTAACATTTTCTACTCTGGCCGCGCTAGACTCCAAAGTTTGTTTGTTTCCCGTTTCTACTAAAGTAGAAAATTTCAAGAAATTCAAGAAAAAAAATATTTGTTAAAAGCAGAATTTAAATGTGCTGAGCTTGTCTTTTCTTTTATAAATTCTTGAGATGTGAGAACCATTGGGTAGAACTTAATTTATGGAGAGAACAATTGGGTAGAACTTAGTTTATTGAGAGAACCATTGGGTAGAACTTAATTTATGAAGAGAACACTTGGCTCTTTTAAGGGAGTTGGTAGCTAGGCGTCTTTGCTAATAAAATTCGAATTTATTTTCACTCCCTTTTTTTTTTGGGGTGGCATGGAATCCCAATAAAGTTTGTAATAGGTATCATGATATTTGCTGAGCATTGCCTTTTCGCATATTGCGTCTATTCTGGTTTCAATAATAATTGCATTAATTCTTCTTGAAGGTACACCTGATAGCCTTGCTGACCTAGCCACTCACAACAGCTAGTAGCACCAAGTATGGTCTATCGCATTGTGATTTAAAGCCATCTATGTCAACTTGATAGTCGCGTTTGTTTGCTACTTGGTGGTGCGGTGGTACAAATTTGTTCAAACAGTACATAGTCGTCTGTGATAAAGCGCGATGGAAGAATATATTTTGCTTAAACATATCTGTTTAAAAACAACCCCTTATATTGTTTTCAACGTTATAGGCTACGTTATAAATTATGGAATCTATGCGCTACCTATTGCTTTACCGAGACTCAAACCCAGCACAAAATTTGTATTTGACTTATTGAATGGCAGAAGAAGAAGAATAAGAACATTCCATTATAAAGTTCTTAAAAATTAATTTTATTCCTTGACATATCCAAATTTTAATTGAGACTGAGAGCTCAAACAAATCAATTTCAAAAGTAATGCGTGTCTCTTCTATACTCCAAGTCAATTTTTACACAGGGGCCTCTCCTCTGTGGTCTCGTTATTGCTAAGACCCAGATGAAATGTGGAAACATTGAAACTACGAACCTACGCATCGTACGTTCTATTGGAGGGAATTAGAAATAATGAACAAAAATAAAGGAAAGAAAAATGTGGTGGACGCGAATAACGGATGAGAGAAGATAAAGGGAAAGAGATGAAGCAAAAGTTGAAATATATTATGGAAACTTGTCCGAGAGAAAATAAGAAAGAGAGAGAGGAAATAGACAAAAAATGTGAAAACTGGCCAAAGACTCGCATACGTCTTGAAGCTTGTTTGCCTATTGAAAGAGCTGATCCTGTTTGGTTTCTAAGGTTTACCATTACCGAACAATCTGCCAGAAGCACGAGAAATTAGAAAATAGAGAAGAAGTGCAAGAATGCAACGCAAGGTGACTGCTAAACCCGAGAGAAGAGGAAGCAGGAAGGCGAAGAGCAATGCTTGCGAAAAAGCAAGGGGAAAATTTAATACTTTATCAATGTTAATGCATCTGCCCTATTTTTCAGGCTATATAAATAAAAAATGTGCATGGTAGATATCGAGCTTCGCTTTTATTGGATAATGTATGTTGCGTTAGAGGTCAAGTATGCAGGTTGTCGAGTTTCTTTCTTCATTAGGTTAGATTTTTTTAGACTCATGTCCTTATGGAACTGAATTGTGCGCTTTTACCTACTGCACGTGTATTAACGGGCAAAACGCCTTCACGTTTCCCGTTCCACCGCAATTCTTGTGACTGCGAATGGTAGACTCTGTCGCCGTTATAATAAACTCGATTGTATGCTAGCGTTAGGTGCTATCTCATCGGAAATTATATCTGTCTACATTTATATATACATATATGAAATTATCACAATAGCGTTCACAAATAATTCGACAGACCAGGAAAATCTAAAATCTATAAAGGATAGATTTGGCCGTATCAACGTGATTGCAAGATGGAAAAAAGGCACGAAAGGAATATATTTTCTCTTTAAGTAGATTTAACTCACTTTTGTAGAATAGTCAAAACACGTAAGATTAAATTTTCTCAATGCTCGCTACGGGTGGTTCTTTGTCGGAATGTTTTCTAATTTTGATTGATTTGACTTTTCTTTGAATTTTCAAATTGTTTGTGTATGTTGTCAACTTTTAAATAAGTAATTTTTTAATGTTATTTTAAATAAAAATAATTTACGATATTTTCTATGCGACCTCATTAGCGCAATTTGCCGTACAAACGCAATTCTAGCGGATACCTTGTCATTTATGCAAGGTTTATAAGCACATCAACAACAACAAAGGTTACTGCAAACTTGATGATGTCCGTTTTTCACTTTGTCAAAGTGTTTATGCTCAAAGTAGTTATAAGGGTGTCGTGGAAACCTGTTACGCTATGATTGTTAGCGCAGCCGGGTAAAGGAAATACTTGTTGAGTTCAAAGGATGATAGACTACACCTAAGAAATGCGTAAAAGAAGAACGAGAGAAGCGTACAAGTTCGGTCAACAAACGAAAAGAGCTACTTTCAATTACTCCGTTAAGAGTTCATTGGGAATTTATCTAAACCAGTAAGTTAGTACTAAACTAAATTGAAAAGTTTTTCCCTATTTGTGATCGTCTTCTTCTGTTTTTTATATATACCAAAGATCTCTCTTTTAACTCTAGGCATATCGAGTTTCATTTATTTGCTTTTTGGGATTGATCTCCAGGTAGTATGTTTTTAGTTTCTCTAATAGTAGTTGTTGCCACCATTCGGCCTTTTTACGTTTTTTGGCTATCTACGCTCCTTACAATCGTGTTTACTATGGATTAAACACTACAAAAATATGTTGCCATAGATCTGCTGAGTAAAATGGGTATTTTTGCGTTAAGTTTATATTAATGTATTGAATCCCCCGAAAGACTTAGAATCACTTTCTGAAACGATTTTAGCTTGTCGGTCTATCTGTCCATCTTTTATCTTTGTCTTCAACCTACAGGTCGCAGTTTATCAATTATTTTGATGAAATCTGTTACGCCGGCATGTGTTATTGCAAAATAGGATCGAAATATATGTTCGACAACTTGCCTTGCAACGATTTATTGGAAAAAGTTGTTATACAAATAATTGCATTGGGCGGAGTAGTGAGGGGCATTTAATGGTGGGCCAAGGTCTATTATAATGTTTTTATCGGTATTTTTTTTAACAAGACTTCATTTTTCGCTGGTTAGGAGACAAATTTCCGGAAATCATGTTGTGCTGCCTTAAGGTATTATATGAGTTGGTGGCGAATGTGACCAGTTCTTGAAAATGACAAGTAACCCATATAGGGATCACTGCTGACGTTTTCCGAAAAACTGATCGAACTAGTCAGCGATCATTTCACTACAAACTAGAGGCAACAGTTACAGTAGTTACTCAATCTAACCATGATGTCCCCTAACTTAACTGAAAACATGTGTTAGCGGAGATATTACAATTTGTACCAAACATGAGATGATGAAACTAATATGTTTGGCTATTTCCGAGATGGAATATATTTTAATTCACTTTGAATACTTGTTCCTTGCTCGCCTTTACCATTTTTTATCTTGTCAATTTGAAAAATGAATTTCAAATTTTTTTTCGAATCTCGAGTATATTTAGCAACTTTTTATTTAAAAAAAAAAAAAAAAAAAAAAATATTTTTTCTCTAAATTCTACGTTGATTCTAATTAAATTAAAACATTTCATTTTAATCTTCGATAAGCATTATGCGTTTCTTTCCGCACCCAGATCCCCAAATTTACTGGGAAATTCCTTCGGCCTGGTCACTATTCTGTCGTACACCAAATAAATCCTGGAAAAGGCGTCCCCTCGAAACTAAACATACGGTTTTGTATTGGCGCGATTTGGAAGGCGCGAAAATTGAATGGATAATGAAGAAACATTTGGAATTTGAAAATTGGCCTGACACTCGCATACGTTTGGAAGCCTGCCTACCCATTTATTATAGCGTAGGGGCGCGCTTTATACGATTGGAGAAGACTTTGGTTGGCTTTAAATGCAGTGAAATGCCGTTAAGTCTCGTCGAAGCACGTGAGGTGAAAGCTTATTGGCGAGCAGTGGCTAGAGAAAAGCGACGACTTGCGAAATTGAAGAAGAAGGCAGCAAAGGAAGCAAAAAAGAAAGCGGCAGCTCGAGCAGCTTTGAGAGGATAAAAAATACACAAAAGTGGAATTGTATAAAGGCGCGAGCATTCACTGTTACTAGCATAAGCAGTATTTAAAGCAAAAGTTTTTAAACTTTAAAAAGACAGATCGATTGCAAGACTAATAGTTTTGTGACTTTCTTTTTTAGTGTTGGAAAGCATTTATTTTAAATGTGAAATTAACTAGTGACTCGCGCCTTAATGTTAATTTGCAATTTAATGCTTCGTAACGTTAACTTGTAGTAGTAATCTTAACGTTCGCTAGTAATATCTGTTATAGTAATTTGTAAAATTTAATCGTTTGTCTCTCTGTTTTTCGGATTATCGTTTACTAATTGGTTCAATAACTGATGTCTACTATTGTTTTAAAAAGACAATAAAAAATAAAAAAAAAGTTTTTTTATCCCTTGAAAATGCTCCAATTTTTTTCTATTACCACACCATCATTGAAAAGTTTTCCTCCTTAAATTTCTTGATAAAATTTTATTATTTATTATATAGTTTGCTGCTGCTGCTGCTGCTGTTCAGGCAATTATGTCCCAATTTGAAACAATTAGTACTTCTTCCTTAGGTTGCGTCAATGGCTTACCGTCTTTCTTCATTCATTCAAAATGTAAGATGTAAGATTGCATTTTTTAAAAAGTCATTTTTGAACTTTCTTTGTGTACAACGTTGCCCGCTATTGTATTCTCAGCGACATTAAATACTTCACATAGTCGACAACAAAAACAAAGATTAATTTAAGGCTAATTAGAAAGTTAAGAAGTAAAAATGAGAAACGCATACACAAACAGGAGAGTCTACCGTTTTCAGAGATTAATTTACACTAAAAAGCCAGAGGTAAAATAATTTAATTATAGACAAGAAGTTAAAGCTTTATGTTGAAAGAGTCTTTTAAGTCTTGATTTATTTTAAATATAATACAAAATGGGATAAACTTTCTTTTGTTGCATATTATTAAGGGTTATTTTCGCGCTTATTACTTAAACCAAATATTCTGTCATTTATAGGCGAAAACTTAATTAATTTCTATCATAAAAGTAGGCAATTAAAAGCAATGTTTTTACAAGTAAAAGTAGGCAATAAATTTTATTAAAGAAACTTGTGCATCTGACATCGAAATATGGCTGTGCACTACATTTGCTTTCCGTTAGTAGCTTATACTCAATATTTATTAACGACCCTTACGACTCATAACGAGTTAAATAGCTTAAGTGTCGAATAGAATTTAATATAGAATGATCGATCATTCTTTAACCTATACGTCAGCTCTTTTTGAGAGGCCATGGTCGTGAAACCTCAGGCAGATAACTGTATTTTGTTACTTATATAGTTTGAAAGCGAGATTCAGGCGATACAAGAATCGAAAAGTTTCTTGAATTTTCAAATCAATCGAAATCAATAATAGTTTCCTCTGGTTCAAAACTACTTTACTTGCCCAACTGTGTCTTTAACGTGCCAATTTGGGTGATTCGGGTTTTATTCTAAAACGCCGTAGCAGTAGTGATAGTTTTTTAGAATGTCGTTCCAGTAAGCCTGAGTTTCGGTGGAAATGGACTGCTAAGCTGTCATTGTGGGCCTGTGATCGCTCGTAATATAGCCGATAGGTAGCAAATTGTCCAATACATCGTACCATTCGACACCGGTCTCATCCAAAATTTAACGGTGAATGCGAACAAGAGCATCATTTTGTCTCTTCCCTTTCACAGACACGATCATACACTCGCAAGCTCTCGCAAAATAGCTGTAGTTAGACCAGAATGCTGTTATTTAGTTCAAATTGTTTTTTCGCTATGGACTCTGCACAAGCGTTTATCATTAGCCCCGCGCTTTTAGTTAATGGTCCCGAAATGAAAATCGGCGTCCCGACCTATGGTACAAAAAAACTGTAACTTGTGACTGTGTGTCTGTGCGCCTATGACTGTGCATATCAAAGAGAAGCTTTAAGGCTTTCTTTCTTTGCTTTACATATGCAATTTCAGTCGCCAGGCTCTCTTTCTATATACACCGGACATCCATTTTCTTTTTAAATGCAGTCAGTCATTCGTTCGATAATTTTTTGTTTGTCAAATATTCTTTTCTTTTATCTCTCTCTTCTTCTGACCGATCATTTTCATCACTCATTTGCTCTTCGAACTCTTCGTCCGTTCGCCTATTTCTCTGTCTGCCTGTATATTGTTGCGGGCGTAACTTCGTTTTTCCTTTCATCAGTGCATACATCTTTCCGGCCGTCTCTTCGTTCATCCTCCCATTCATTGATGTGTTCATGCGATTCTTCATTTACTCATCGCTCCGTCCATCTTTTCGCCCATTGATTCTTATGTTCACATCTCTACGCTCCAGTTTGGCATAATTATTATCTTATCATATATTTTACAGATCAATTTTAGTCATCCCTAAGAAGAGGAAGAAAAAGAAGCATACGGGATTCTTCTACGGTAGTTAATGAAGTTTAAATATCTGTAGCAGATATCGATCTGGTATTCTCGATCAGTGATTCTCTACATATGAATGCTTTAGCTCTATCATCTATTGGTGGGTTTCCTTTATTTTATTTATTTCCTTTATTAAGTCGATTTTGTTCGATCAAATTCACGGTCTTTAGTTTATATGTGTGTACAAATTTTTTTTTTTTTAAATTTCTATTTTGATTACCTAAAGGATAACAATAACCCATAAAAAATGGTAGCAACATACACATATACATATATGAAATATGTATTTATTAGATAGAGAAAGTAGTAGTATATGTTTATGTATATATTGTTGTCATTGTTGTCGTTATTGATTTATAAACATCATGCCAATTAATCTCGTTAGTTTTAACAATTTGTCAGTTGCCAGAACATATGATAGAACAAAGGCATACATGATATGTCAGGAGGATATAAGAACGACTCAAAAAATTCCTGTTATCTTTAACTAGTGTATATTGTTAATATCTTGTTCGTATACCTAATGTATAAAACTTTTTTGCAATTAAATTTAAAATAAAGACCGTAAGAGTTTCCTTTTCAGTTAAAATTCTAAAATTTTTATTAAAATCTTTTTAACTAATCCGTAGTCAATGTAAAAAGTTTCGTTAAAGTCCAGATTATGAATATTCTAAGGTTGAATTTAATTGAACTGATTGACTTGTTGCTAAAATGTGTTTGTGAAATACGATTTTGACTAAAATTATTTATACGAAAGTTCTCCTTGATGCCAATGTTTTTAATATTTATATTTAAATTGCAAAGCATTGTTTCTCACTTATCTAAAAAGACTTATGTCGCGCATATTTATAAAGCTATGTTAATTATTCAAGGTTAGCCTGGTGAAAGTGTTAGAAGGATTGTTAAATTTTTCTTCAATTCCTTTCAGTTTCTTAATGGGTTCCATGCTCATTTAAATGTGATAAGCAAAAGATCTTAGTTTCACTAGTGAGTGTTAAATTATAAAGTTATCGTTCGAAATTCGAAGTCAACCAATTGATAATTGAAGTTTGTTGCGGCTAAGGCAAAAGAACTTCCCTTGAAGGAAATGATTTTCACTATGAGGGCTGGTACGAAGCCATGATTAAACTCAACTTTTAAATACAGAGACAATGACAGATCAAGAGACAGAAAGACATAGAGGTATCGATTCCGTTTCTTATGCTTATCAAAAATTATATGTACTTCAACCGTTTTCAACTACTTTTCACATTTAATGAACCTCGTGCAAGGCTTATAAACAAAAAGTCTTCGAAATTTTTCATACATCATCTTCGTTACAATATAAGTATATATTTGAAGCACTCTAATTACCACTGAAATCAAGTCGTGTGATATTAAGTTTGGGTTTAAGTGGACTCTTTTGTTCGTTCAAATAACTTTTGCTAAATTACATTAGAACAAGGTTGCTATAACAGCCCGTTTGAGTTTATTTGGAATTGACGGAGAAGTCCCTTAAGAAAAGAAGGAGCCCAAGTAAGCTGCAAAAAAAAGCAAAAGTCTTAAAATATGTTTGCTAAAGTCTTTCCAATTCTTTTTCCCTCGATGGTATGTCATTTTGCCGAAGTCGGTTTTGACGATCACGGATGCGTTTTTGCTACCAATTCGTAGCCTGTGCCCTCTGAGATTTGTGATTTTTTTTTTTTTTTTCATAACGATCACTTAGAAATAATGGTCAGGAAAAAATGTGGAGAGAGGGATAAGAAGTGGTCGCTGTCTGGTAGGTGTGTATCCATTGAGTAAGTGTTATGCCTTAACGTAAACACTCACAACATCTACGACGAAATGCTAATCGTAAATAAAGTGTGGTCTATCGGATTATAAGTTCAATCCAGGTACGAGGGCAAAATATATTTTGCGTACACCTTTCACCCTATATCTGATATGTTCTTATTGCAGTTGAAAATTAGTTGCTTTTTATTTATTTATTTATTTATTTATTTATTCCACTTATACAAGAAACTCAACTAAAACAAAATGGCAGTCGAGTTCAATTGACTCTTAAGTAAATCTTAAAATTATTTAATAATAAAACTTAGTATAAGTACAATAAAACAAATAAGGAGGAAAAAAAAAAGAAAGAAAAAAAAAAAAAAAGCATGTACACAATTAGCATAGAGCCACGCCCACAACCGATACAGGACCAAATTGCAAGTGAACCCCTAAGCCATCGCAAACATGCATAAGCTTGGCAACCGATAATTGTTAACAACAAATTAATTTTCGACTCATAATGACAAAATCTAAGGTTAAATCAGTTTAAGTACGACATAGGTAAATCGCGCTTGTTGAGCAAAATTGCTTTAATAGACTTTAAAGAGTCCGTTAATGAGAATAGATGATAGACATCATTTAGGTTCTTGCAAACAACTCTGAGCGGGTTAAACAGTTCAAAGTTATATTTGCATTGACTAAGCTTTATCAACATAAAGTACCTAGAGAAGCGGTTAGGGACATTAAAGCAAATCTCACGAAGTAATGCGGGCGAATCAATTGCACCATTTATTAATTTGATTAGGAAGGAAACCCCAAGAACAAATCTACGTTTCTCGAGTGACGGTAAGGATAACAGAAGCAACCTATTTTCATAGGGTGGAAGAGGGGAAATCGGGTCCCAACCCAAATTCCTAAGTGCAAACAGCAAGAATTGCTTTTGTATAGATTCAATTGAACCAACGTAGCATCTATATGAAGGAGACCACACAACAGAGGCATACTCAAGAATAGGTCTAACCAAACACGTGTAAAGCCTTTTAGTAATATAAGGATCATCAAGCTCTTTGGACCACCTCTTTATAAAACCAAGAGCGGACCTAGCTTTGCTTAACGAGGACTCAATATGCAAATTGAAACGTAACCTATAATCGAATAGAACGCCTAAATCAATGAACGAATCGACGTCTTCCAACCTGTGCGAATCAATGAAGTATTGGGTACTAAACGACTTCCTTCTTAAGAAAGAAAGCTTCTTACATTTATTTAGATTTAGCTTCAGAAGATTGAGGGAGCACCATGCAACCAAATTGTTCAAATCACTTTGAAGATGATGTGATTGCGATTCTACGGAAAAAGAAGTAAACAGTTTCACATCATCAGCATACATTAAAATCTTACTGAATTTAATCACGGAGGGCAAATCATTGATGTAAATACAACTCTGTATTGAACTTTATACATTGTAAAAATTATTACACATTATATATATTATAAATTATCTCTTCAATGACATATCCAAATTTTAGTTGAGATTCTAAACTTAACTGAATAAAATTTCAAAAATAATGCGCTGCTTTCCTATACCCGACGTGGACTTTTACACAGAGACTCGGCCTTTGTGGTCTTACTATTCCTATGAGCCGAATAGAAAATGGAAACAAGTAAAGTACGAGCGGCCGCATCATATATCTTACTGGAGGGAATTAGAAATAATTAAGAAGGATAAAGAAGAGAAAAAAGTGGCGGACGCGGAGAAGGGACGAGAGAAGGACAAGGAGAAAGAGAGGAAGAGGAAGATGAGACAGAAGAAGAAAGAGCAAATGAAAGAGAAGGCAGGTATTTATTATCGTCCTTTCCCGAAAGAGGAGAGAAAGAAGGAAAAGAAAAAGCTAGAAAAAGTCGATGATAATTGGCCAAAGAATCGCATACGTTTTGAAGCTTGTTTGCCTCTTTATTACAGTGCAGGTAATCGGTATATAAGTGTAGAAAGAGCCGATCCTATTGGTTTCAAATGTTCACCGTTGCCGATTAGCCTGGCAGACGCACGTGAAAATAAAGCATTGATAAAAGCTGCAAGAGCGCAAAGGAGGGCGGCTGCTAAAGCCGAAAGAGAACGAAAGAGAAAAGAGAGGGAAGATGCTTACGAAAAAGCATGGAGAAAATTTAATGCTTTATCAATGTTAGTGTATCCGCCCTATTATGTAGGTTATATAACGCAAAATCTGCGTGCTAGATATCCAACCTCGCCTTTGTTGGATAATGATTTTTGCAGTAGAGCGCAAAAATGCCGAATGTCGAATTTATATTGTAGATGTTGTTAGCGTCATATCCTTACGGGACTGAATTGTGAGCTTTTACCTATTGCGCGTATGTTAATGGACAAAGTGGTCCGATTGCTTTCATTTTTCCTGTTCTAGCGCAATTTTTGTGACTGGGAATTGTGGATTCTGCTGGCGTTAGAATAACTTGCTTTTATGTCAGCGTTAGATGCTAAGTTATCTGAAATTATATCTGCATATATTTATATATATATTTATAATTATATATAAATTTGTGTATACATATATGATGGTATCGTAACACCATTCACAAGAATTTCGACAGAGCAGGAAATACTGATTGATAAAGGGTAGATTTTGTCTATGAACGCAATTGCGACGCACAGAAGAAGCTTCAAATTTTGTCTTCAAGTAGCTTTGACGCGTTTTTAAAACATTCGTAAATGTCGTAAACTTTCTCCATGCTCGTTGCCTTTGATGTTTTGTCGGAATGTTTTCTAACTTTGGATTTTCTTCGATTTTTCAAATTGTTTGTGTTTATATATATATTTGTAATTTTTTCCTTTCATTCTAAGAATTCATTTCGTTCATCTAAGAAAATTTTATTTCTGCAAAATATACCTTTTATTGCAAATAGAAATGATTTGAATTAAACCAAGTATGTCGACGTACTAGTCTTGCTTCTTAACTGCTTAACTACGCCTTAATCATGATACTATGATTTGAAATATTATTAATATATTTGTAAATAATGCACTGAAATAACTTAAGCGATTTTATTAGCTTACGTTAAGGGAGCAAACCACTGTGAAATTTCCACTAAATCAATTTTTTTTCTTTTCCTTCGCTTAAGTCATGTGATTTAAAAAATATCTCTTGTGCGCGTGTAAAAATTATAAACAACCAAAAAATTCAATTTTTCAAATGGAATTGTGTAGCAGTGTGCGGATTATGAGAACCATAGTCACATGTTCGTTTTGGTTTCACACACATAATCGTAACTCCACCATACATACATATTTAGTGTAGTATAGGTTATATTTACGTATGGTTAACTTTTCTTATATAATGCTTGCTTGCATGTATTTTGATCATTTTTTCATTTAAAAAAGGCGATTATTGAAAAAATCTGTGAAATATATATTAATTAAAATATTTTCCATTATCTTCTACAACTGGCAACATGGCGGTATCGTGTCGAAAGAATGACATTAGTTTGGCAGCAATTCAATCATCGGCCGATTTTCGCATTACCTCAGTATTTCGAAAGCGCGTGGCACTCAAACGGTGCTGTATCGGTCTGAACAAGCGGTAATCAGACGACGCTATATCTGGTGAGTACGCCGGGTTTGGCAAATCTTCTCATTCGAGTTGCAACAGTACATTCTGCACAACTCTTGCAACGTGTGGCCTATCGTTGTCTTGCAGGAGGATGACTTTATTTCTGTTAACCACTATTGCTGGGCTTTTTTGCAACAATACATCGTTTAATTTTTTTAAGGGACGTCGATAGGCATTTGCACTGACAACTTTATTCGGTTTTACCAGCTCGTAATACCCTACACTTGCTTGATCCAAACATATACACAGCAAAACTTTGCAGCCATGAATGTTCGGGTACTGTGTCGAAGCGGAAACGTCTAGAAACAGTCAGTCTTCTTTGTTGTGAGCTTCGGGCAAATAACTCTTGAAATTCATTGTTTTCCTGAATCACCATAAGTGTGTTCGGCTTCGTCAACACATTTTTTCAAGTTAAACAAGAAAAGTAGTGAATGACGGAAACAAAATTATGATCGTTCTATGATTAGCCTCTGTATACACTGAAGAAACTCAGTAATACTGAAAGGAAAACTTTTATTTTATGTAGAGAAACGGCAAAATCATCGAATTTAAACGTTGTGTACTTAGATACTTTGCATTATTTTATCATTTTCAGCAATAGATGTCGTTCACCAAAATACATGCAAGCACCTATTATATCACTGGTTTAATGTCAAATAAAATTCCTTGTTGTCGGCACAAGTGCAAAACACAACAACATTCGAAGAAAACTGTTCATATCATCTTGATTTTTATCGACTTTGGTGCACAGATCTAGGCTCAGCTTGCTCTTCATTGATCGGTTGTTTTTTGCTCATAAGCGAACATCCAGATCTCATCTCTCAAAATAATGTGCTTTATGATCAACTGATGGTCAGAAGTCGTCTCTTCACAAACATTGCGAAAATCGGAAAAAATGCATTTTGTGTCGTACAATTTCATGAGCAATTGAAACAGTAATGATGTTTATGTTCTGAGCTGTGGCACAGAAGTCGAACACGGTGTTATCAATTTAGGAAATAGAAAATTTAACTTTTTTATATTGATCTAACTTTTTCATGATGGTAAAAAAATTTCGTCGGTTCTCAAGGTTGTTTTATTTTTTTCTGCATTTCGGACATGTTTGTAAATGCATCGCGCCAATCTTTTAACCCCGTATTCTTATTCGATCAAGGAACGTTTGTGCGAAATTTCAGTATCCTGTCTTTACTATTGCGACTGTGGCGCAAAGTTCGCGAAGTTTATCCATCAAATCGATGAGTTTCTGTAAATCTGGTGTTCAAGAACTTCTAATGTTCCTGCTTAATGTGAAGTCGATAGCTTCATTAGTTGCCACCAAGAGGACATTTACAACCGACTTTAAATAGACGGGCAAACAGAGAGACGGACAGACGGACACGCATAAGTAAATCCAGAATTTGATTATGATCAAGCATCTCTGAAGTTCTCTTCTGGTGTTTCCAAACGTTGCGTATATGAGTTGGGTAAAACAAGTAAAAACGTTATGGTGAGCCATTGCATGGCGGATATACTTTCTATGCACGCATTGCTAATGTAATTATGTATATTGACCTATGACTTTGGATTTGCTAAAATTAATAATAAATCAAAAATTTCAAAAAATGAATACCTTACGTCAGTTCGCTTAATAGATTTATTCACATAACGCCTTGAAAAGTTGTTATAATGGAAGTGGTCGAGAAAGTGAACCGATTTCAACATTGGGTTAGTGTAGCAAATTTCATCAACATGTCTCAAAAATTCCGATCTATAGTTTAAATACAAGAATGCCAGATGAACAAACGGGCAGGCGAACTTAGTGCGATTCAGAAAATGATTCAAATTCAAAGTGTAGGGTATAAAAAGAGCTTAAAAAACAAAAACGTATTCCATTCCTTATAAAATCTTAAGCTTTTGCATATCTTAAGGTTTTATGTATAGTCCTATCAGTGTAATTCTGGGGAAAATTGATTTTATACTTAATTCAATAAAATAGTTGCTTATTTAAAACATATTTTTTTTTTTTTATGTAATTTATTCGTAATAAATATTAAATACGAAAATCCGATCAAAAGAACTTCAAAAATATCATAATAAACTAAAAATTCTTTTTATCAAACAATTTGCATACTTCTCCGTTGACTTATGTTCACATCAGTATATGTTGGCGAAAGAAAAAAAAAACTTTTATGCAGTTGCCTGATCTATTTATGGTAATTTGTAGCAATTTCAATACTTTTTTATGTAATTTGTAACAATTTATTTTTCATAGTTTGTAACTAACAACACAAGATGTCGGTATACTAATTTATGTAATATATTCGTAACACGCTAACAAATAAGTTTAAAGTAATACGAAATCTCTTACAATAAGTAAATGCTCAATTAGTGAGACATTCCCTTTTCTTCCAGCTTAGCTCATCTACCCGTCCGTTTATCGGTCTTTTTGTTCGCTTTCACATAAAAGTTTCACTTAACACTTCAGTCAATAAGCGTCGTAGTATCACTAATAAAACAATAACTTTTAACAGAATATATGACTTTCATCGTCAAGATATCTCTCTCAAAAAGTGGTACCACATCAGTCCGACGCTGTTCTAATATTTTTTTACCTTTCTTCTAGATCGATTTATCCAAACCTCTAAAATACGCTTCACTTTCGGTGTTCATTTCTTCATCGGAGCCATAACTCTTTGTGGCAAGTATTTGTATGAGCTTCAATTAGTTCCATAACGCATGAGGAAAACTTTTTTACTTTAGCTGAACAGCGTGTTTTGGTTATCAATACGTTAGCACATAGGCCAAGCACTTTGGACAGGGCTTTCTCATGGACAAATGCCTTCATTAAGGTGTTAGTTGTCTTATGCAACTTCACTTCTCGGCCTTTTAAAACGATTTTGTGTATTCGCATGTTTCCTGCGTGACCAGAGTTTTTAAGGGTACGGGTCTCGACGCAGCTTTGTTTTAAATTAGCCAACCACGTAGAAATTTTTCGAAATTGCTTAGACAAGGATTTTCGAGGACGGGGGCCTTTCATAAAATCTTTCAGGCCAATCTTGACTGCCATCAAAAGGCAACAAATTTCGGATTGTTCGGTTGTTTTGAAAATTAAAAAGGTAGTGCCCCTAAGCCAACTATAACTTCTAAACGAATGATCGGAATGTCATGAAATTGTAAGAAATTTTATTTGAAGGACCCTACCGTCTAATAATCCTATGGGTTCGTCCATGGTGGCGGCATCTACATGTCATGCTACGAGTGATGCGTTAGCATGGAAAGTTAGATTTTCGCTCATAAGTTCTTTAGAAAATAATGTATCAATAGCGATAGTTGCCACGCCTTTTACGCATGCAAAAGTGCTTATAATCCACAGTTCAAATGATATGTAGATAATTTTTTTATCTTGATTGTTGGGCATCTTATGATTCGTGTGATCACAAATATAACCTCACTTTTACTTTTCATTGAACTTTTACAGCTTTCGGCATTTATATGAAAACTATGAAAATTGATTTGAATTATTTCTATATTTTTCATAAATTTGTGTTTTTTTTCTCTTATTCTAAAATACCAAATGGAAGTGTAAGCAAAAAAAAAAGAAGAAGACGTCAAGTGGCATTACAACGAAATTGAGAATATTGTAGAAACTTAATCATGTGAAAATATATTTATCACAAACTAAGTAAAAATATGCAAAAACTATATTCGTAAGCTTAGACCGAAACTTTGAAAAAACTTTTGATAATCGCCAGTCATACGATTTTTCTAATCTCTTCATAAGAGATTACGAAAACCAAGGAAAATAAAGGCTTAGTGCTATGAATACAATATAAACATTTGCACTATAAAGTGCATCGTAGATTTCATAAGATACATGTTTTTGTACCATACAAAATTTGTGTATACAA